ACCTGGGTCTTCAGCGTGACGAGCAAATGCTTTAACCACTAGGCTACCCCACTGCCCCTACATTTTGGGTTGATCAAGGCATCGTCTATGTAGAACACAGTGGTGTCCCTTGACTTCAAAAACATGAAGAGATATAAAAGAACCTCGGCAAATTGAGCAAACCTTTAACCACTTCATATTCATCTGAACTAAATTTTTGGAAAAAATTCAGTGCAAATTCAACCGACAATGGCTGTAGCCATAGCAGTGACCAGGTTTACAGAACAAGCATCTCGATTATCAATATATAAAGAGTTCTATGATTGTACTGTGCATATCTGGGACAGTTCACTCAGATTTTAGCACAGAACAGATGTCCAGAAATGGTGAGGGTGGGAAGTAGACTCTGAGACAGCCAATGGGCAGACCTTCCTTGGAAAGATAAGACCGAAATCATGTCCCACAAAGCACATGTGATAAAAGTGGTCTCACCATAGACAAGTGAGTTTGTTCAAAATTGCTTTGTTCACCCAGCAAAAAAATGGGTACCTGGTGGGATGAGTCACATGACTACAACCTTCTAGTGCCTAACAGGCAGCTTGGGTTATTAGGGGTAATATTGTGTTAGCGTGGCATGAGCATGCATACGAGTGTGGATATGTGCACATTATAAATATGCACTATTATCAGTGTATGAAATAAAGCCCGTCTGACCAACCGAAACGGGCAAGATTTCTGACAGACGGTCTAAATTTACAGCTTGCCAGCCCGATGTTCTGGTAAAATTTTTATATGTTCCATACATCTGAGTAAATTCACCATATCTTGGTGTCTGGTCTTGTTAAATCCATTTTGGGCTGGTAACATGTTGAAGTTGCCAGCCCTGATGTCTGGCTGGGTTTTTGGCTTATTTCATACACTGCTATTATCATGTCCAATATTGTTCAACTAAAAACGGCAAACAATGCCTACTGCTTACTATAACTGTGGGACTAAGTACTGAAGAACTGCCTTGTAATAATAGCTGCAATAGGAAACAACAACAGGCTACTGAGGACATATACTTGTACATGGACGGACAAGAAAATAATTTAATGCTTCAGTTTGTGTATACATGTATATCAACAAATATTCACAAAAATACTTTAACATTAAAATCAGGGACAAAATGAAAGTTACTTACTACAAAGCAACCCACTAGTGAGGATATCACTACTCCATGGACCATAGCATGTTAAATATCAGCTATTTCTATACGTGAAGAGTGAGTTAAACATTGCCAAAAATATACAACAAAATCTAGCTTCATCAAAGTTAAATCTGCATTGGTAATGATTTTGCAAATCGTCAGAGAGTAAGTACTAATTAAGGCACAGTGGCTAGAGAAGCAAGCATAGTTTACAAATATAATTATACAGACTGCTGATTCTGTTTAATTAAAGTTAGCAATTTTCATCTTCTTCTCAAAAAGATTTAACCTACACTTGCGAAAATGACATAACTATCAATACAACCACTAAAACAATGTCAACCTGATTAACAGGGTAAGCTCTATAAATGAAAGCTTTGGTGCTTAGAGAGTGAGTGAGAGAATGTTAAACATGGCCCATCAGCAATGCAGTAGGTCACAGTGACCTGTACAGAGCCTGGACCAGTGGCTGAAAGCATGAGCATCAATCCAAGCCAACTGGGTCGGACATGTTCAATCCCTCCTGTGTCTGCACTGTAGTTGGTCACAAACACGGACCTTTGTTCAACTGAGCCGAAAATAGATACTTCAATAAGACATATAGTCTTACACTGTGTTTTATGAACAGTGAGTGAGTGAGTGAGTTTGGTTTTATGCTGCTTTCAGTAATATTCCAGCAACATCACCGCAGGGGACACCAGAAAAGGGCTTCACAGAAACTTTCTATTTCATAAGGATTACGTCTCTACAACTAGACTAGTAATGTGTAGTAATGTATATACATGTGAGATGAATTGAGAAAGGGGTAGTTTCTTTAATTTGCCAGTCTGTGTCGCAATCATGCTGTGACACTAGACACTTGTCAAATTACACTTTAACCTTACAAAATACAAACAGATGTCAAAAACAATACCAAACACACCACAACATTTCACAAAATCTTTCCTGAGTCATTTTTTAGTTTCAAGGTGAAATTGCAAATAACACATGGACAATTTGAGAATGTCATATTTAAATTTCACTACCTCTTTAATTTTTGCCACATGAAATAAAACAAGCAAAATATTAACATTGCCACAATGTGATTAAAAGGAATATCACTCTATTTTGGGTAAAACACAATGTGATGGTTTTGTTATGTGGCAGAATTAATAGGAAAACTGCACACTTCAATGGAACAAACTTATTGTACCAATGCTCTTGGGTATAAAGAAATGTGATTCAAATCTAACGTAATGTGAATCCCTTTCAAAGTAAAGTGTATCCCGTTCAAAGTAATCTGAATCACATTCAAGTAATGGGAATGAAGTCCAAAAACTAACAACAACATTTGTTGGGAAGTGGAATGTTCTTTCAAGAACACTGCATACTTTTCCTTGCATATCCAAACCTAAACAACTTATGTTACATTCTGACATTTCATAAGTGAGTGATGCTTTGAACAGATAAATCAATGCACAACTGTTTCATGTGGAAGGAAGGTGCAAGTGAAAATTGTGCCAATGCATGAAAAATAGTTACTTTTGTGTGAGAATATATACATGAGTAAGTGAGTTTAGTTTAACTCTGCACTCAGCAATATTCCAGCTATGTTGCGGCGTTTTGTAAATAATCGAGTCTGGACCAGTCAATCTAGTGGTCAACAGCATAAGCATCGATCCACCCAATTGGGATACGATGACATGTGCCAACCAAGTCACAAGCCTGACCACCCGATCCCTTTAGTCGCCTCTAATGACAAGAATGGGTTACTGAAGATCAATTGTAACTCGGATCTTCACCGGTTTCACGTGGAAGGAAGGTGCCAGTGAAAATGTGCCAATGCCTGAGAAATAGTTACTTTTTTGTGAGGATATATACATTTGGTTAAAACCTGGCGGAACCCTGCAAACAATAGTTACAGTGTACGCAGACATCATAAACAAAATCCACATACCTTACATACATCCCTGTTTATATAATGCCTTGAATCACAACAAACACATGAAAATTTGAATGCTGTAACGCGATAATAATTCTCAACAAATTGTTACAAATTTGACCACATAATCTTCGACTCTGTGTTCAGAAGAAGTGCATTATATTTACAAAATGTTTGAGCAAATTTCATTGACATTAACCTCAAATCATAAATATCCTTCAAAACATCAAATACAAACATTCTATGATGACAATTTTTACAGTATTTACACTTAGGGACTTTCAATGCATGCTTTTTTTCAGCATTGCCATCATTGTACACGTACTGTACATTTACTTTAAGGAAACATGTTTTTTACTTAATCACACGGATTACTTAACAGCCTTCAGAATGATTATTACAGAGCTTGCACACAAATAATCTGTGTAGTACTCAAATACATTTTGCTACGTGAGAAATCTATGAGTTTTCAAAGAAACAGTAAATACTAAGGAAACCAATGTATATCTAAAACTATCACATTTATTAAATTTCTGATTCAGTAATACTCTGTTATCAAATAACTTGGCTTTCCTTATAGAATATAATATTTTGCAGTCTTCTAATAAGGAAACTATAGCTACTATATCTCTAATGATCAAATCATTTTTATATTCAAGACTAAAATCCAGACATGAAATAAACATATCCTGGAACAGATCAATCTGACATGTGACGTACTGAAGAAACAATGGCAATAGCAGTAAGGATATTTACACTGAATCCTGCTGCCATGTGTAGAAGCTTGTATTAACAATAGCAGAAACTATGTACATGTTTACAAAATAGTTTAAAAGGAATAATTGAAAAGTAACCCCATTCCTGTTAAAATGGTAAATATGTGAGGTTAAAAATATAAACACTTCTCTTTTATATATTACAAACATCTGATACATTATTTACAGAATGTTGCTAACAAAAACAATAAATTATTAAGTCAGTAACAAGGTGTGGATAAGACACAAACATATATACTTTTTAAAAACATCCTAAAAACAATTCCTTGAACAAATAAGATACATATATTTGATGTTTCTAAACCAGAATAAAAGCGAATGATAATAGCCATATAGAGTGTAAATGAGACCACATTTCCAAGTAACACATATGTAAAGTTGTTAATAATATCAGATGTGTAAACAAACAAGAAATTTCATTTAATTAAATCTTTAAATAAATATCAGACAACATTTTAAATAAGTCTGTTGGAATGTACTATATGTAAACTTGTTGGTACTGGAAGGAATTTCCGGAAATTGTTGGCATGACTTCGTGATCTACTGTGATGAATGTATCCATGTACAAGAATCACACGTCGTCCGGTGTAAGTGAAGTGGCCAACTGTGGTTTGAGGCATGTAGTCATAAAAATTCAAATACTTGAGACATAAGTAGAATTTAAAAGAAGAAAATATGGAATTCCAGTCCTAATGATATTTCACAGGGTGACTTCAATTTAAATTTTCATTCTTGGATTTGAACAAACAAGAAAGTAAAATACAAATAACAATGACATATCATAATTAACTTGACCAATTTACCATTGATGGATTAGATGAAAAAAAAACTGCAAAGAACCATGAAATTTAAACCCCCAAAAAGGGCAAATTTGTAACTCATTAATCAAAAACATATTATATTGTCTGTCTCAATCCTTATTAACAAAACAAAGTCTTCCCCGACAGATGGAGTGAGTGAGTGAGTGAGTGAGTTTAGTTTTACGCCGCACTCAGCAATATTCCAGCTATACGGCGGCGGTCTGTAAATAATCGAGTCTGGACCAGACAATCCAGTGATCAACAGCATGAGCATTGATTTACGCAATTGGGAACTGATGACGTGTCAACCAAGTCAGCGAGCCTGACCACCCGATCCCGTTAGTCGCCTCTTACGACAAGCATGGGTTACTGAAGATTGATATTCTAACCCAGATCTTCATGGGTCCCGACAGATGGAACCACATGAAGATGTTACCATGGTAACCATACAAAGCAACATTCCATCCTCAAACATAATTAGCATGTATTTTTAACTAATAGTGGAATGACCAATGTAATGCAAAAGTATAACAAGTATTTTATCCCACCAAGGAGTATTTGTTGATAAAAATTAAGTAAACCATTAAATATAAAATGTGTGGAATACCAAGTCTCCTTGTAAATTGCCACTATAGCCTATACATTTTATCTAAAAACACCTTTTAAACAAGATGAGGCCAACAATAAGGCCAGAGACACTGACAGCAAGTTAAGAAAAGTCAATCGATCAGCTTGAGCAACTAATCTTGGACATCCATATTCAATATATACAAACATATATACGCTGTCATGGATTGGACATAACAAATAACAAAAGACTTGTGATTGTTCTATCAAAGAAATGTCTCGTTACAAGTAAAGCTAATGTACACTATATATATTTGAAACTGGATTACATATGTAACAAACATCATAAGTAACAACTGAAAAATATCACATATCATCACATCTGACAGATCTTCAAATATATTGTATTGCTACTACAGAGTATAATGTGGAGAGACTTCATGGCTGATGATGGACCTTCCGCTGTAGCTGCTGCTGTAGAAACTCTGATCTTCATAACGCTTGTTGACAGTTCATTAGAATACGTACAACCTTTGTTCCTGAACAGTTAGAGTATCTGTGTGGTAGGGGTTGCAATCAGGCCACTGATGACAGCCTCATCTTGTCTGCTTGTGGACATGTCAAACTGTTTTGTACACGCCCATTAGACTTGCACAAGTCTCTAGGGTAAAAGTTACAGTTAAAATGATCATTTCTAAACAATAATAAGTAACAGAGTGGGGTTGTACTGTCCACTTATCTAGATTTGCCTCTTCGAAGGACAGAATTAGTATACATCCATGGGCTCAGCATTCAGTACAGCCTTGGGGTAAGGTATCGCCCATTGATCCTCGTTTCTGGTAGTCCATGGTCCACACTGAGCGACTTTGGCCATGGTAGCTGGGCAAAACTACATCCGGTGGACTGCAAGAAGAATAACACAGCAATGAGTGAGTGAGTGAGGTTGCCCTCCCCCTTCATGGTGCAGAAAAACCTATTGTCATACCCAGAATGAATCTTCCATTCAAACCTGTGACCAAGAGGAACGATAACAGTTTAAATCATCCACTGATATGATGAACAATGGGGAGAGTTCTACGGATATACAACCTCTTAATTATTATACTTGTTGGGATTGGTGTTAGTCGCTACAACGAAACGTCGGTCATATTGATAATAAAGAAGTTGTATATTCATAGAACTCTCCTGTTGTTCATCACACCAACTCCTAAATGCCACTCAAAGAAGTTATCCACTGATATGGTGCCATGAGTCACATTACATCCTCGGTCTATGGAACAGTTTGCATTCTCAGCTCCCTGAGAAATATACATGAAAGATGACCAGGAAAATATTACAAAAACTGTAAAAGATTTGTGAACTTCAGATATTTCATATCATTACAAGGACATAATTGGCATGGAAAGTAGGTCTGATATATGAGTAGTATCATTAAGGTGCACCTTTTATTAATTTATCTATTATACAAGAGTATTATCACAACATTTCAATGTCAATTTAACTGTTCTCTGTAAACCTGCTAATCTGTTGGACTATCTATGTTACAGGTCTGTGAAAGTCTCTCTGAACATGCAAATCCATCACACTTAGTTACAGGTTTGAGCAAGTCACTGTAAACATGCAAATCTACTGGACTAAATCAATAATCAATAATCAATCTGGGTCAGAGGAACAAGTGACTGATACAATGACACATCCGATCAAGGTCTGCTGCCAGGACAGAGTGTTCATGACGTGCTGGTGACCCAGTTCTGGCCTGGGGCCTCGACAGGGGAGGTGACATAACCAACATCAGTACTTGTACGAGACAGGTGACAAGGCAAGACAGTTGTTTATTAAGCAAAACACACATAGGGTCAAAATAAAGAATTACAATACATTATTAATTAATCACGGAGAGTGCAAGACATGTGACAGACTTCCTCAAGCCTATAGGTTCAAAATTACTTGTTGACTAGCATTTTGAATTGTATTCATCTGTTAAAAGTTGGTCAGAAGAAATAAGGAACAAATTAAGTTAAGGAGGACTTTGTTTTGACTGGTATTTTTCAATAATAATAATAGTTTATTTTCCTTTTCCTTTCCATGTCCTCCTCCTTTTAATTATTGTCATTATGGCAGTAAGAGTGAGTGAGTGAATTTAGTTTTACACCCCACAATATTCCAGCTATATGGCGACGGTCTGTAAATAATCTGGAAGTCTAGGATCAACAGCAATCATATCTACGCAATCAACATGACATGTGTCAACTATGTCAGCATGATCTCGATCCCATTAATTGGGACTCACGACAAGCATGGGTTGCTGATCAATTCTAACCCGGATCTTCACGGGTATAGAAGTAGGTACTAAAATTCTTAACATTAAACACCATTTTGTTACAATCCCTACACCATCCATCACCCATGTTTAGAAGGAATCACAACACAAACCACACAAGAGACATGCAAGGGAATGGACTTTATTACAGAGTGCAAGCTGACACGGGGTGGGACAGAAAATGTAAAACAGAGAGTGAAAGGTAGGTAGTACCATGCAGGTGAGCTCTTAGTGAGCAAAGACTGGTGAATTTCAGGCAGGTGAGTGAACATTGTGAAAAGTAGGTAACACCATCCAGGGGAGCCACAGGTAAAGTTAAGACTAGCTAGCTCTATCCAGGTGAGCTACAGCTGGAGTTGAGATCAGCTAACTCTATCCAGGTCAGCTACCGACAGAAGCCGGCTAGCTCTATCCAGAAGAGGTACAGCCGGAGTTGAGATCAGATAGCTCTAATCAGGTGAGCTACAGATTTAAATATAGGTTCAAAAGTTGAGTTGAGACTAGCTAGAGCTATCCAGGTGAGCTACTGATAGAGATCAGCTAACTCCATCCAGGTTAGCTACAGTTGGAATGGAAACTAGCCAACTCTATCCAGGTGAGCTACTGATAGAGACTAGCTAGTGATGCTTAAGGTAGGAGACCAACCCAACAGGAAAACCGTCACATCAGCATTCGGAATCTTTGTACCTAGGTTTGGTGGTTGTTGAGTTCACCGGTTCAGCCTCCTCATCTGTAAAACAACAAAATCTTACTATAAAGGCCCAAGCTGGTCAACCATCACAATATTATCTACAGGGATCAACACTAAACTCAATATCGGCAAGTACAAAACCCTTGGGTACTTAGGTCAAGGGTCCTAAACTTAAGCTTTTATGTGATACAAGCAAAATCACTGAATTTTTAATAAGGTACCATTATATTCATTCAATCTCTAGGCAATATAAGGAACTCATCATCAGTTATTTTTATGATTGTAGGATGAAAGACATATCTCCATAATAAGTCACATTATCCCATCAGATTTCAAGTGAACATTTTCTAAAATCCCAGCAATAACATAGAAATTGAGGTTGCCATCCACCTATTGGATTACCTCCCCTTACTAAATAACCCTGCACCCGTTGACTCAAAGGTGCTCAATAGCAACAAAACTAAAAGTAACAATAGCTTACCAATGTCATCAATAGTTTCTGAGTGCTTCAAGGTCGACAGAGTTGTCTCCTCTTCACTTTCTCGTGACGTCTGGGATCGTAGTAGTCGACTGCCATTAGGATTAATAGCAGACATGCTGACTATGCCATGACTATGGGCAAAGGGCAAAGGTAACTACACTAACATACTGGTTTGTGATATGACAGTATTTTGTACATTTTTCCCAAAACTATATCTGTAACTATTTCTATATTTCTCATCCAAAAACATACATGCTTTACAAGACACAATTCCAATTTTTTCACTTGTTTACCTGCTTTGCAGTTGGACTTAATGACTAATGAACATTATCTTCAATACAACAAGCAAGAGTGAGTGAGTTTTACACCGCTTTTAGCAATATTCCAGCAATATCATGGCGGGGACACCAGAAATTGGCTTCACACATTGTACCAATGTGGGGAATCGAACCTGAGCCTTCGGCATGATGAGCGAATGTTTTAACCACAAGGCTACCCCATCTCCCCCGCCAACAAGCAAGAAGTGGTACTGATGAATCAAATGTCAACATAGAGCCTTTGAATCCCCAAATGGTAACATGTTTAACAAGATAAGCCTCAGATTCAGAGAAGATTGGTAGTGAGCTGTGAAAAGGGCACATAATGAAACACTTGCAAAACCAGCCTGTAAAACCTGTAAAACACTGTCTCATCACCAGCCAGTCTACTGCTATATATTTCACATGACTATTTCACAGTCTTCAAGTATTCATTGGTCATCCAATTATTCAGATACTCATGAAAATTAAATCTTTATTACCTGTACAACAGGTAAAATACATGGGTAATTTCAACTTAAATGAACTAAAATTTTAGTATCAAAATTTTGAATCCTATAGATACATATAAGTTCAACAACACATATTTGCCAGTTCAAGTACAAAAGGAATATCGTTGTATTTGACAGGATCTGCATCAAATTACCTCTTATCCAAGTCTGACCCTGCAGTCTTTTCTGAGCTATACCAGAGGTTGTTGGCCGACGGTCTTTTCCGTAACGTACTGGGTCCTGCTGCTGCTGGCGTTTCCTCCACGATGACTGACTCATTGCCGTTACCCGTGCACTGTCATCCACATCGTCATCCCCATTCTCAGACGCCAGACGCGATCTACATGTGATCAATAAAGAAAGGACCAGCATTGTTATAAAACACAATAGTGAGTGAGTTTAGTTTTATGCCGCTTTTAGCAATATTCAAGCAATATCACGGCGGGGGACACCAGAAATGGGCTTCACATATTGTATCCATGTAGGGAATCAAACCTAGGGTCATCAGCATGACATGCAAACACTTTAACCACTAGGCTACCCCACCGCCCATAAACCACAAGAAGTACATTACACCTTTTGTGGAAAATATAACCAACTGAATAAAAAAAATTCCCCAGTAAGAAATATTGATGATTTGATAATGCCTCCCAACATTTTATTTTATTTTTACAAATCAAAGGAACAGCATTAAATAATGAGAATACAAGAGATCTATACTAAGTGAATAGCTTGTAATGTCACTTTAACCAACACTACAGTAACATCACAGATCACGGACACTGTGGGGGTGAAGCTTGCATCAACGCAGCAATCACACATACACCAAGTTGATGAATCCCTCTAACATGGTGCTGACAAACTGAGAACATAACCAGTATTCAGTGTGCTAAATAGCCACTGGCCCACTAGCCTATGGCTAGTGAAAATCCAGGTGGGCAGTAAATATCCACAGTCACTGGTCTGACTGGCTAGTGAATTTTCATGGGGTCATTGTGTAAATATTATCACGCTCTCTGATTTGTTAAGTAAAAATACACTTTTAAATCATGCAAGATTATGGCCTGATGAAAATGTTCATCATATTAGCAGCTTAATGATGAAACCTGTGTCATGCCGACAATATCTTATTCTCATCTATTTTTTTTATCATTTGCTTAGTTTCCACGTTCATATTTCGGGCTAGTGAATTATTTCGTGGGCTAGTAACTTTCAGGCATAGCTAGACTGGCTAGCAAAATTTAGAAATTATTTTGCACACTGCCAGGATTCACTAAAATTATATGTTTTGTTTGATGGTTTCAAACTCAAGATATTTATCTCATTATGATGACATTAGACTTGAATCTATAGTGATTTCTTAGAAAAATGTCAGATTTGGGGTAAAGTGCACCATGTTAAAATATACAGCAGTACATATAACACTAAAAATATATGTTTTGTTTGATAGTTTTTTAACTCAATCAACATATTAATCGCTTACTGATGGTGACAAAATGTTATCATTATGTTCATAGCAGTTTCCAACATTCTTTGTCTCCACTGACACAAGGCCAATGAAAAGACATCAGGAAATCAGATTAAAACAATTGTTATGTGGAATTACAATTCAAAATATATAAAAAGAACCATGACAGTGTTTCTGCCGACCACATAACGCAGTAAGACAACAGAACTCTACCTGGACTCTGGATACAGGTGAGTGAAATCCATCTTCGTATTTTTACCAGCCTCCAGTTTCTTCCTGATCTGGTACCTTTCCTGAAATCAGAACAAGTCAAAGCATCAGACAGACACCCAGAGGGGCAGATGAAACTTTCCCAAACCCGACCCTGAACCACTGAAACACCCAAACCCCATTATGAACCACTGAGACACCCAAATCCCACCCTGAACCACTGAGACACCCAAACACCACCCTGACCCACTGAGACACCCAAACACCACCCTGAACCACTGAAACACCCAAACCCTATTATGAACCACTGAGACACCCAAATCCCACCCTGACCCACTGAGACACCCAAACACCACCCTGACCCACTGAGACACCCAAACACCACCCTGACCCACTGAGACACCCAAACACCACCCTGAACCACTGAGACACCCAAACCCTATCATGAACCACTGAGACACCCAAACACCACCCTGACCCACTGAGACACCCAAACACCACCCTGACCCACTGAGACACCCAAACACCACCCTGACCCACTGAGACACCCAAACACCACCCTGACCCACTGAGACACCCAAACACCACCCTGACCCACTGAGACACCCTGACCAACTGAGACACCACCCTGACCCACTGAGACACCCAAACATCCCCACCCTGAACCACTGAGACACCCAAACACCACCCTGACCCACTGAGACACCCCAAACACCACCCTGACCCACTGAGACACCCAAACACCACCCTGACCCACTGAGACACCCAAACACCACCCTGACCCACTGAGACACCCAAACACCACCCTGACACCCCTGACCCACTGAGACACCCAAACACCACCCTGACCCACTGAGACACCCAAACACCACCCTGACCCACTGAGACACCCAAACACCCCCACCCACTAAACCCACTGAGACACCCAACACCACATGACCCTGAACCACTGAGACACCCCAAACACCACCCTGACCCACTGAGACACCCAAACACCACCCTGACCCACTGAGACACCCAAAACACCACCCCTGACCTGACCCTGGGACCCTGACACTGAGACACCCAAACACCACCCTGACCCACTGAGACACCCAAACACCACCCTGACCCACTGAGCAGACAAACACCACCCTGACCCACTGAGACACGACCCAAACAAACACACCCTGACCCACTGAGACACCCCCAAACACCACCCTGACCACCCACTGGAGACACCCAAACACCACCCTGACCACTGAGACACCCAAACCCAACCCTGAACCACTGAGACACCCAACTGAGACATCACCACCCTGACCCACTGAGACACCCAAACACCACCCTGACCCACTGGGACACCCAAACACCACCCTGACCCACCCAAGCCCCATCCTGAACCACTGAGACACCCAAACACCACCCTTAACCACTCAGACACCAAAACACAACCCTGACCCACTGAGGTGAGGTGAAATTGGGTTTAACGTTGTGCTTTGACCCACTGAGACATCAAAACACCACCATGACCCACTGAGACACCCCAACCCCATCCTGAACCACCGAGAACCCCCAAACCGTACCCTCAACCACTGAGAGTCCCAAACCCCATCTCAACCTTTCACACCCTTGGTATTATCCTAGCCCACCCTTGCGACCACAAGATTCTGCCTGAGTAGCCCTACACCCCAACATAAACCCTTTGTCAATATAAAGGGTCATTTTGTCAAAAATAAAATGGAGTAAATTTCTTTCAATTTTGAAGGGGTCTCCATTCGTCAGAAGTCTTTTTCTGAACTTACACGTCTGATGGCGAGGCGGACGTCCATGGGCACATCTGGTATCATGTAGGCCAGGATGTACTTCATGAGGAACACGATGTGCTAGATGATAAAGAGACAGTTCACAATGAGTTAGACTAACAGCTCTCTGAAAAGTAAGCAAGTTACATGATGACAGGACAGCATATTTCCTAGATAATGCAATGCTTGGTGCTTTGGAGAAACCCCGAAGATAGGTATGAAGCTGACAGACACAGGATTATAATCAGGTCGAATCTGGGAATCACCGACAAGCAGATCCTGGCAGCAAAGGAAGAAAACTCAGCACAGTAAAGTTAATACTTTCATCTTATAAAACCTCTTTCACTTGCCAATAAAAATGTATCAATTCCACACACTAGGCTCTGTTAAAGAAGATTCAAGAATTGCAAAGAATCTCACCTAACATTTCATGATGTAATGCTAATTATAGATCAAATACAGTAAAAGAAACATATGATCATGTATCAGTCTTACTTCAAAACCAATGACGATCCACAGTTTACCAACAAGGTCGTAGTTTGACCCCCAAGATGAGGTGAAGGCTATCAGGAAAGCATTCGTCAGGACACCGCAGAAGTTGACAAACGTCAGGATGTCATACCACATTCCTGCCAATAGATCACATGGTGGTGAGTGGGTTCGTCATTATGTTCCAGTGAAAAGACATCAGCTTAAAGGGGATGGACAGCTGTATTGACACTGATCTGACATTTGTCAACCACAGACAAACATAATATGATGCTGACAAGCTAGGAACAGATTCAGGACAATTCAGTGACCCATGTCCATAGATTTCTGGCACCTCTCAGGGATGCATTGCTGAGACAACTTGGCCACCTGGCAATATCATATAATATTGTTTGTTTGTTGTTTAACGCCACACTCAGCAATATTCCAGCTATATGCTGGCGTTCTGTAAACAATCGAGACTGGACCTGACAATCCAGTGATCAACAGCATGAGCATCGATCTACGCAACTGGGTGACGTGAGGTGAAATTGTGTTTAACGTCGTGCTTGAGAATATTTAGCTCATATGACGACTTGCATGCGTGTGTATGTGTATGTGCGGCTGCTTGTACTAGCCCAGACTTAAGTTGGTTTTATAGTGCTAGCCCACTGAGATACCATGCCGCAGTGAAGCATGAATACCCCACTCAGACACATTATACTGACTCCGAGCCGACCAGTCCTTGTTGTACCCATTAATGCCGAGCGCCAGGCAGGGACCAACAAGTACCATATTTTAACGTCTTTTGGTATGACGAGGTCGGGGATCGAACCCGCGTCCTTCCGCTCTACGGGCTGTCGCTCTAACCACTACACCACGGAGGCGGTCCCTTCGCAACTGTGATACGATGACATGTGTCAACCAAGTCAGCAAGCCTGACCACCCATTCCCATTAGTCGCCTCTTACAACAAGCATGGGTTACTGAAGGTTCATTCTAACCTGGACCTTCACGGGTTGTTGGTTCCGAGTGTGCAGTAATGTTATCGTTGCTTTCCTACAAAATTGTTATTAGCTCCAAGCATAGCTGAGGACTCTCAACACTTTGAATTAACGGGGTTTTATAGTGAATCAGTTAATGAATCAATTTACATATAGGTTCGAACTCAATAACCTGAAGCTGTTAGGCGCCTCTTACGACAAGCATGGGTTGCTGAAGACCAATTCTACCGTGGATCATACATATCTCATAACACTGACAGAACATCAAGACACAGATATCTGGAGATGTTGAAGAAACACTGTTTGAAATGTTGAAAATATATGGCTAGATACACATTCATTCATACTGATTGTCCCAGCTAACATTTCAGTTTCACCAAATGATGGATCATTACTGTCTCATCACCCCTGTACTAACCTATGTCCTGGGCGATGAAGCCAATGGGCCTCCGATTGAACCACAGCATCCGCTTGGCATCAACTCGGATGTCAATGAGGTTGGTGATCAGCGCCAGGAGGGGTGCCAGGGGGAAGGAGGCTGCGAACAGCTGCACACAAAGACATTAGAACATACGTAGTAGTCATCTTACAGCTGCACACCAAGACATTAGAACATACGTAGTAGTCATCTTACAGCTGCACACCAAGACATTAGAACATATGTAGTAGTCATCTTACAGCTGCACACCAAGACATTAGAACATATGTAGTAGTCATCTTACAGCTGCACACCAAGACATTAGAACATATGTAGTAGTCATCTTACAGCTGCACACCAAGACATTAGAACATATGTAGTAGTCATCTTACAGCTGCACACCAAGACATTAGAACATATGTGTAGTAGTCATCTTACAGCTGCACACCAAGACATTAGAACATATGTAGTAGTCATCTTACAGCTGCACACCAAGACAGAACATATGTAGTAGTCATCTTACAGCTGCACACCAAGACAGAATATATGTAGTAGTCATCTTACAGCTGCACACCAAGACATTAGAACACATTAGAACATAGTAGTCATCTTACAGCTGCACACCAAGACATTAGAACATATGTAGTAGTCATCTTACAGCTGCACACCAAGACATTAGAACATATGTAGTAGTCATCTTACAGCTGCACACCAAGACATTAGAACATATGTAGTAGTCATCTTACAGCTGCACACCAAGACATTAGAACATATGTAGTAGTCATCTTACAGCTGCACACCAAGACATTAGAACATATGTAGTAGTCATCTTACAGCTGCACACCAAGACATTAGAACATATGTAGTAGTCATCTTACAGCTGCACACCAAGACATTAGAACATACGTAGTAGTCATCTTACAGCTGCACACCAAGACATTAGAACATACGTAGTAGTCATCTTAATGTTTCTCAATCAGAGAGTATACAGAAGTCACAAATGATCAGGACGTATTAACAGGATGCCAACCCCATATTGGGGTACTTCAGAATATCTAGTGTAGTAGCTCATCTGAATTATGAAGACGAGAAGACCGGTATTTGATGGTTTTTTTTTACTTCAGTCTAGCCATGTATGCCATTTTATCAATCTATTTCAACCTTTTCTAAAATGTCTAGAAATCGAATCATTTTGTCAAAATCTATGCATTTGTTTGCTAGACAGACGCTATTTTCCCGGAAGTAAGTTCTCATGTACCGAACCGAACCGAAGGCCATGTACAGCAATACGTACCGTACCATGGTAAGACCGTACCGTCTCACCCCTAGCCATGTATATACACTGTAACTGGATTTGAATTCTACATTGTTTAAGAAACACTCGAAATGCATTCATCATCAACCGAAGGCCATGTACAGCAATCACATTACCGTACCATGGTAAGACGTGTACGTCTCACCCCTCCATGTATATATAACTGGATGAATTCTACATTGTTTAAGAAACACTATGCATTCATATCAGGTTTGTCTTGCAATATAAATGCAGGAATAGCACTATGTAAAAGTCAAAGGTCAAAGTGCAATTAAAAATCAAAATACTAGTATGCCAAAAGGCATATTACTGATTACACTCCATGACACATAACTACTGCACGTCAAATTTCAGAGTGATAAATGCCTAAGTAAATGAGTAACATGCAAAAATATCAATATGGCCTTCTTGAAAAACATATATAATATGCCATACTTATTTGTCACATTTAAAGTCATATTGGATTTGTGCAAGAAAGGTTTAGAGACAAAATATCTGGAATCATTCCTATACCAATTTCAGTTTTATAGGCCTAGTACTTTCAAAGAATATGTTGAAAATAAAATAATTCGACAGACCACACAACAGGACAAGTAACAAGTGACAACCGTATAACCTCTACTGACTATCAACCAGGTGAGCTAAAAATTAGTCATCAACATTAGCACAGCTAACTGTACATTTTGATGAAAATATATAATCTTTTTCATTGTAGTCTTTCACAAAATTAACGTAAAATTCCATATAAGTTCCATAATATGCCTGACCTTGACCCACTTACCATGAGGAAGCCATACTGTATGACCTTCTCAGTGTACTCCCCAAGAGTGAAGTCTCCCAGTGAGGGTTTCAGGCGTTCCCTCTCCAGGAATCGCTGATGTTTCATGGCCTCATCCCCAGCAGACTTGTTATCTGCGGACACCTCATCAACCTTTGTCTTGCGGCAACATGGACGTTTTCGCCACAGCATTTTTAGAAATCTGCAATGTAAGAGATGAGCTAATTTACACTTCTGTGCCACTTGCACGAGCAATGATGCGAAACCGTGAAGAGGAAGATCTGACAACCTCTATAGTAACTCACGTCACTCTCTAATAAATCTCATTAAAACCATGTCTAAATTCTCACAAATGCAAAATGAAGATTTGCGGAACATCGCATCTCAACGACCTTTCATCCAACCATTCTGCATGTAACGTTATACCAGATGAGTGAGTGAGTGAGTTTAGTTTTACGCCGCACTCAGCAATATTCCAGCTATATGGCGCGTCGGTAAATAATCGAGTCTGGACCAGATAATCCAGTCATCAACAGCATGAGCATCGATCTGTGCAATTGGGAAACCGATGACATGTGTCAACCAAGCCAGCGAGCCTGACCACCCGATCCCGTTAGTCGCCTCTTACAACAAGCATGAGTTACTGAAGGCCAATATTCTAACCCGGACCTTCACGGGTATTATACTAGATGAGAGAAGTGACAGTGAATGGGAAGGGGTTGTGAAGCAATATGCAGTGACAGAAATGGGTCAGTACCAGTCAGTTTAGTTTTACGCCACTTTTAGCAATATTCCAGCAATATCACGGCAGGGGACACCAGAAATGGGCTTCACACATTGTACCCATGTGGGGAATCGAACCCTAGTCTTCAGTGTGATGAGCAAATGCTTTAACCACTAGGCTACCCCACCACCAGTGAAACCATGCAACCTTGATAAGGTGGACATTGTGTATTCAGAACAACAGTTCCAGGCTGTATGACTGATTGGGTCGAAATCATCGTCTATCTCTCACTTCAATGGGATAAACATTTGAACTTTCAGAATTTTCTTTGGCTTGTTTTGAAATTTTGAATCAGTAGTGTGGGATTGAAGTTGCCAGTTGGAAATATGTTCTGTAAAGCTCAAGAAATCTGCTTTCTGATTGGCTAATGTTCTAAACTTCTTGTTAGTCATTTCAAAGCAAGCTTAATTGTTTTAAGAAGCTTACATCTGACTGGCATGAGAGCCTTCACATCGTACATAAAGAATGGGTGTTGAAAGTTTGCATATGGTTGAAACAAGAAGACCTTCCAGGTTTCTGATTACTTCATCTAGTAGGATATTGAGTGATTGTGATCCAAAATGACACCAAAATATTTCTCAAGTTGGTAATGATATCATAAAATGTCCAAGTTGATAAGATCCTGAAAATGTGCTAGTGCCATTTGTTGCCAGGGGGATCACTGCTTTCTAAGGAGTTGTCACCAGATGTTCTTGCAGAAAGGTGACCCGTGAAGATCCGGGGTAGAATAGGTCTTCAGCAACCCATGCTTGCCACAAAAGGCGACTATGCTTGTCGTAAGAGGCGACTAACGGGATCGGGTGGTCAGGCTCACTGACTTGGTTGACACATGTCATCGGTTTCCAATTGTGCAGATCGATGCTCATGCTGTTGATCACTGGACTGTTTGGTCCAGACTCGATTATTTACAGACCGCCGCCATATAGCTGAGTGTGGCGTAAAACTAAACTCACTCACACACTCACTCTTGCAGAAAGAATATCAGTGTTAATGTTCTGAGTTTAATTAGATTGAGCATTCATGATTCTATAAATAGTTTGATGGAAGTAAAGTTTAATTTGTTTACTTACGGAAGAATGATATCTTTGAAGAATTTGGGGAAGGGTTTCACAAGCATGAGCACAAGAACTTGGAAGGAGAGTTGAGACATGCAGGTTCCCTCACAACTATCTTTATAACTCGCACCACGGTTAAGGATGAAAAAACGCTGAAAAGAAATTCAGATTAAGTTAGGAACCAACATCCGAATATGCAAGCAATCAAGTTCAGCCAATTTCAAGAGAAACTACTTAAGGTCAGATGATTTCAGTATCAAAAGCAAAAATGAAATGGTGAACTCCTGCCATTAACCTATTTTATCTTCAAATTGAAACTGCTTAGAATATGTTGAACATTATTTCAGTCATGAAGGAAACCACAAGCACAAACGTGGCGTGGTGCTGACACTCCAAGGATTATCATTAGAGCACCTCTGGGATTTGAATCCATATCCAGCAGGCCCCTGGCTAAGGGACACAATCAGTGGGTCCGCCTCTCCACAGTGATATAGAGCATCAGTGGGTCACAGTCCCACCCACAACTCTCCACCCCACCCAACCCCAGCAGGCCCTGGCTAAGGGACACAACTCTCCACAGTGATATAGAGCATCAGTGGGTCACCGCCCCACACCAGTGGGTCACATCTGCCCCCACCCACCCACTACTTTCCCCATATACCTGATGTCAGTGAACAAAAATATTCATGCTTACCCCTCGAAAGAAGGCAATATAAAAGCAGGAAGCAAAACTGTTGACAAACTGGAAGGCAAAGAGTTTGATGATCAGGGCGTCGTCATACCGGAGTCTGGGTGCGGTGGTTCTCTGGAACAGTATCAAAATATACAGTGGAAGGAGCTGACAAATCTGGTTACCATGGTTACATAACAATAATGTGATAAATGGTATTTTCTCGTTATTTGTTCCACTTGAAATTCACATTAAATCATCAAAATATCAGAAAGTTGTATTTGCTTGCACATAAATTTTGCATTAAAAACTTAAATCATTTTATAGATGATTAGCCAACTCTGCTCACCCCAGTCAGTCAGCCATACTGCCAGCTTGTCATAAAACTGCAAAATCATAGGTAAATGTGTAAAGAAAATTGCTGCAAACCTTAAAAACACTTAAAAAGCATGTCCAATCACTCGTCTCAGTAACGAGTGTCATTTTGAGACAGCTAACAAATATACCCAAACACAAAACAAATGAATTTTTGGGCAGTTAGTTCTTTTCTTTTAAATGCATTTGTTTTCTGTGAAATCATGGGTACTCATACTAAAACACAATTAGAAAATAACATAAAATTTTAACTAGATCCCTATTTCAAACACTGCTCTTCAAAACTGACTGATTTATTAAACACTCAAACAAAGAGTAACTCTTAACTGTTTTACTTATAACTGATCAAAAGCATTGTTTAAGTAGACACTAAAAATACAAGAAACTTGTAACAAATGTCACAATAAAATAGTTAAGCATCTTCCTCATATTGTGTATGTACCTTTAACTAAACTTAACTGACTGATCCAAATAACTTCATGTCAATGAAACAGAGCTGCATAAATTCATGTTGAATTGTAGTAACTGATTAGCACAAAATTGGTAAACCATGAATATAATTGTGTATCCTGTAGTTCACAGACATGACAGTTGCTGGAGGAAAGAGCTAGCTGACCACATCGGTGACAGAAGACGTACCTTGCCAAGCAGTAGGATGGAGATAGCGTTTAGGAGAGAAGACACAACGGTTGTGAGAAGAAGGCACTCGGTTCCACTGATGCCGGGCACAAGTCGACATCCATGATGACACGGTAGATGATGACACCAGTCACACTGATCAACACCACGGAGATCTACATGACAGACACAAACTCAGAATTAACAACTGGGTAAGGGAGTGTGTCTGGTTTGATGAGGCTTCTCTAAACACTTTGTTTGGGAATGGAACCCATGCAGTTGAGAAATGGTTATAACCACTAGACTACCTCAATGTCTACTTTATTATTGTCTGTCTTCCTAACAAGTTCTCATACTTCTCATTTTACGATGACAACTACAATCATACTGGCATTTCTTTTTTATAATTGGTAATTTATATTTCCTGCTTCCACTGTTATAGAAAAGGCAATAGAGCCAGGGGACTCTAAGGTCCTTTGCAAGAAAACTTCATTGATAACAGGAAAAACAGGATGTTTTTCTAACAAAGCACAAAACAACAACACCAGACACCACAACACATTCACTCACCAATCACACTTACAAGCTTCAAATATTTACAGTAAGTTTAAGTTCAAGTTCATTCAGCCTACATTTTCTTTCATTAGCAAACAAGAATAAAGAATTTAGAAAGTCATTTAAAGTTTGCAAAATCATGATATAACATCCACCTTTTATAAAAGTTATCTTGCTCACTTTCACTGAAGGATATATTCTTTTCAATAAAATACCTATCTTGTAAATCATGTCTAAAATGTTTAAAACTAAGAGTAGTTTTTAATACCTAACATTTATATATGAAGAATTTACCTAACAACAATATTAAATCAAACACATCATCAGTTAGATACATTTGTTCTCATTCCAAACACAGTAAGATGCAGGCATATTGTCATTTCTGTAGCTAGGCCCTAAAAATGCCCTTTTAATGAAGATTGTTTTCAGTTAAGGTATGAAACTTGTGATGTTGACTGTGTGATGGATGAGAGCTTGTTCCGTATCTCAGCACCACCTCCAAAACAAGCTCTGTCACCACAGGTTTCTGGCTGAAGATGAATATTTACCATGAAGAGAAGAACAGAAGCTGAAGTGGTGAACTTGAGCAGCTGGCGTTTGAGGGGATAGAACCACGTTTCCTCATTGGTCACAGGATCCTGCAACACAAGACAGTCACCTGCAGGTCTTCACCGCCATAACTTCACTAATTTGATAACAGTCAGATTCTGCACTTAAAACATGAATACAGTAACATCACTTTGACCCAGTCCTGACAGACCAAGGACAATAATCTGTGTCAATCAGAGACTTTTCCTTAAATAATAACTGACTGATTGCATAAACTGACCAGTGGTCACTGCTAGTACCAAGGAAATACATAGAAGTGTATGGATCCTTGTATGTGCAAGGGAAATAACTCTGCAGAGTAAAGTCAAGTGACCTTCATCTTTATGTCGCCCCAGTAGCAAGGAAACGCTTAACTTTAAGGGAATGCAACAAACTACAGTAGACTAATATATATCTGAAATAGATATACTAAAAGCAGGTGTCAGTTGCATAAAATATATCATAAATAATTGCATAAACAGTTTTCAGCTCACAAGTTCTCTACATGTATTTCCACAATTTCTAGAGAGCAATCAAATACACTTGTAGAATATTGTTAGTACCAGCAAAGTTTACAATGCTTACAGTATGTTACTTACAAGATCTTACAACTTCAGACATTCCATGAAATACTCACAGGTTTGACTGTAGTGCCGAAGAACTGGGGCCGATCTGGCTCCGACGCTTCAAAGTCATCAACATCCCACTCGTAGGCAAGACGGGCCACCTTCCTCTTCCACAACTCCAGAAACACTGTACCTAGCAACAGAAATAAATGTCACATGTCAGAAATAGGGGTCAAGAAAAACTGTCGAGTTCCTTCTTCCAAATTCCATGCTTTTCAGAGAACAATACTAGTATGTCTTGAATAAAATTACATCAAATACATTGAATTAGTGTCTTAGGGTACCAGCACCAGGTACCAGGGTGCAATGCTTTGTGGGTATTCCTTTGTTAGAATTGCAACTCAGTGATTGAGAAAACAAAATCTGGATACTTTACACTTGATTGTGTTTGTATTTGTGTTTGATTGTGTTGGATTATATTTGTGTTTGATTATGTTCAATTGTTTTTCTCATCAGAGTAGATATATTTTCAGTTTCAGGAGACGAATGTACATTACTTGCATCCATTTAAAAATTCTGAGTCATGGACGAATTTACTGATGCACGGAAAGATAATCTACAGCTCCATTGAGTACTTTTTAGACCAGCATCCTTGTTTTAACTGGCAAACCATTGGGTATATATTAACAACAGGACTACCAGCAAGCCAGACAGAACATGAAGAATCACAGATACAATATTACAAGTCAAGTTAGTCTACAGAAAGCTCTTACCCATAACTGACTGACATACTGAGTTTGGTTAAACGCCGCTTTTAGCAATATTCCAGCAACATCACGGCGGGGGACACCAGAAATGGGCTTCACACATTGTACCCATGTGGGTCTTACCCATGAAGATCCGGGTTAGAATGCTTGTCATAAAAGGTGACTAATGGGATCGTGTGGTCAGGCTCCCTGACTTGGTTGACACAAGTCATCATTGTATCCCAGTTGTGTAGATCGATGCTCATGTTGTTGACCACTGGATTGTCTGGTCCAGACTCGATTATTTACAGACCGCCGCCATATAGCTAGAAAATTGCAGAGTGTGGCGCAAAACTAAACTTCCTCACTACAGAAAGCCTTACCCCACAAGCATATGATGAGGGCAAAAAATGGAGTCACATCATTGTCAAAGGCCTGCTTAATAACGTTCAGCACATCCGTCACCTTCGACTTTAGTCTGAAACAAAGACACACGTCAACATTTAACACCATGTACAGTTACTGTGCCACTGATACTTCTGCAGAATTGGAAACTGGTTAAAAAACATAATTGATGATCAACAGAAAAAAATATTATTTCTTACAGCTCTTGTCAAGAGCTCATTCAGGCCTTGTTGATGCTCTAATTCCGATGACTGACCACAACAAGAAGATGAACAAAGTTTGGTAGGTCGGCTTATGTACAGGACATAGCATTTTGATACAGATCTTAAGGGTCAAGTTAGGACTTCGCTTATCTGTGAGATCGGCTTATCTATGGTAATGATACACGCTACATAAATAAGGGAGTATGGCCTGATATTGATGTCTGACTGTCAAGAATCCCTTCCAAAGAGCTACTACAAGTGGATTTAGATCAACAGTAGATTAAGTGTTGGAAGGAAGTATTTTGACTGTCAAGGGCAACTCCGGACACTGAAGATCCTGAAGATCAAGTATATACTCACTCTTCCACTAGTGTAGCGTTGTTTGGAGTCTGACTGCTTTCGTTTTTACTAATGCTGAAAATATGAGAGATTTAGGGTACAGAAGAGTAAGAAAGCATTGTTAATAACTACCAACATTAAAACCAATTAATTCTTAAATAGTCTTCAAATTCTGTTCAAAATATTACTAACTATTACTAAGAAAAGTTTCTAAAATTCTAAAGGTCAGCTTATTACTCTGACTGACTGCTAAATTTGTTTATTGTGTGACCAGTGCTTATGTCATAGTTTGTGGAACAGGTCATAGACGGAATGGTAAAAATTCTGGCAACATAGCTGCCTTACAAGGCCTACATTGTCTTCACTTATACTGAGACAAGCAATTAACATATGAAGTTAGGGTGGCGATAGACTAACGCTTAGTCTCTGAATATATATAAATTTGATAGTAATAAATAAACCCATTTAAATTGAAAAGGAGCCCCAGTCAGATGAAAAACCTGAGGGAATCTAGACTTGCTTTAGTTTGTTCTTTACATTGCAGGGAAGGCTAGGCAGTAGGGAATATATTGTGGTTCAGGGACTGTGAGACAGACTAGGGTGGCAACTAAGCAATACTTTGGTAGTTTAAATAATGTAAAATGTCAAAGTCCATGGGGTATTCAAAATGATATCTGCAATCTCACTACAATCACACATTTACTATGATAGGATAAATCTCTTACATGGTATGAAAGGTTGTCTGGATCTATACTACCAATTACTGTGAGTCCATACAAACTAGTTCTTTATGAATGTCCATGGCTTATTCAAAATGACATCGCTGCAATCTCATTAAAATAAATACAGGTTATTAACCTCGTGTGTTTCCGTATCAATAATATCCTATATTAGGAAAAACAATGTTATTATGCGAGCATTTGGCAAGCATAATACATAATTTTTATTCCTAATATATGATATTAATGATACGGAAACACACAAGGTTAAAAATCTCTTTATCATATAATGTCATTCTTAAAATTGCTCTAAAAATGAAGCAAATCGTACGTGAATTTATATAAAGAGAATCGAGCATTTGTATAAGAATTCTTAGCTGTTAACCAAGGTGAAGGTCGTTCATGACGGAAGCATATCGCTGTGACTAGCCACTAATATAGTGCAAACATACCTCTTGCTTAAAATAAGATCTTTCTGTTTAAAAAGAACAACAAACTCTGGCAGTTTTCAACAGAAAATTTGTAATTTGTGTATTGACCTAATTTGCATATTTATCAGATTTGGATACCAAGTTTATCAGATTGCTTTATTGCACCGATAACACCGATGACAAGATATTTTACTTTGACAGTACAAATCTATATCCTGTGAAAAGATTTCTGGATTAGTCTTATCAAGTGCTAATAAGTGTCCATACAGCCTAGTCATGTATGAATAAATCACTCAAATTGACAGCTTGTGTAGTGCGAAATACACTGAAAATCATAACATTTGTTATATTTGGGATTACACTTTCTTAGTAAAGTACAGATTCTTGTAGTTTAGTTGGGTTGAGTCCCATCCGGGATTAGAACCCACACCCTCAGAGTCGCCGGAAGTCACGGTGGCTGAGCAGGTTAGCGGCTGACTTTGTGTGCTGGCGATTAGGTGCCTGACTCTGAGGGTGTGGGTTCTAATCCCGGATGGGACTCAACCCAACAAAAGTACTAGAATCTGTACTTTACTAAGAAAGTGTAATCCCAAATATAACATATGTTACATTTGCCCACTTTCTAAATGGCATTGTGTAATCACTGTACATCATGTTGTGGCTAACACAACATTAAAGCTGATGCATATCAATGCATGTCGAGTAATCTGAATCAGTAAAAAGATTTTGTTATAATAATTTTAAACTTTTTGAAACACTTACCTTAAGACCAATCCATACACGAAGATGCCTAATCCAAAGAGGGTGGGGATCCACAACGTAGTCATCAGCATGCCAGACCATGCAAAGTAAAATGCAATTTTTTCCCCAAAATAGTTTCTGATTTTCCACAGAGGCTGGAACTTAAAGAACTTGGTCCATGTCTCATCCATATCCTTCCTTGGATCAGTGAGCTGGGATATCGGCATTTCCACCTTCATTTTATCCTCCTCCTCCTTCGTTTCGGGGTAGAAGAGTCCATCAATCGACTCCTTCTTCGCCCGCTTGATGGAATCTTCATGAAGGATGTAGGCATCTGTGTAACTCTTCTTCATCAGAAGGTAGGGAAGACCTGATGATTATACACAATGTTATGTATCAAGTATACCCATTGTTGTACATATACTAGCAGATACGTTCTGCTTAAGTTCAACCATGATGTGTGATAAAAATGATAGGTCTATTTCTCCTTAGTGTATCTATGGAATAAGTTGAATTTGTGTTAACTTGTATAAATGATACAGAATGTCGTTCAAGAATAGGTTATTCTTTTTCATGTTGCAGTCAACAACATGGCAACTACCATATTTCTTCTAATAAGCACCCTGACTTCCAGACACCTTATTAGAGGCTCGGTGTGTATTGGATACCTGGTGCCTTTTGCACTTACTGGGTGTACCGTAATTAATTGTTAGTGAGAGTCATGTTTAAGTTAGGGACCATTCCTTTATAAATCTATGTTTGGATCAAAGGAATTACATTTATAAAAAACGTACCCAGCGCTTATTAGAGAGCTGGTGCTTATTTCTTAAACCACTGCTTTACCTCCGGCGCTTATTACTGGAAGTACGGTATATCACGACCATGTTTAAGTAACTAAGTCTGAACTAAACACTGCTACAGCCTTATGCTGAGTGTGTTGCCACAAATAGTGCGCGGGAACTAGAGATGGATAAAATGGCATTAAAATCAGATTTTATATCACAGTGGACGTTTTTAAAAACATTTTGGTTCAATCTAGAAATGAATGTTTGTACAAAAGAAAACCCACACCAAATACAAACATGGTGGAAATCTACTTTAGGTGTAGATGCCACTCAAAAGCAACATGGTGTATTAAATATTGACATATTTAGCTTCTTTCTGAACTTGTCATTAGAGTTTGTTTTCAAGATACAGAATTCAAATGGGCTCATCGATACTGAAAATTTAGAAGCTTCATCTCAGATATGCTGCAAACTCACTGGATGCAACCTCCTATGGAGATATGATCATATGATATGATCAGAAATTCACAAACAAAATTCATCAAATGGAGCAAAAGATCTGATTTTAATGAGAAGAAACGATCCATATTGCTTCTAGAAAAATGTTAAAGAAAATTCTTTGACTCGGGCGTCATACATACAATACATCCCCCACCAACACAAGGTCCCAAACTCCCACAACGATTAAGATTCAAGCAAGCAAATGGGAACCACAGCAAAATAGCACCTCTTCAGTTGGACCACAACTATGTCCTGGTTCATATGGCAACAAATTTCCTCTGTGACATGTCACAGAAAATAAGTTAAAGAAACACCCAATGACTTAACATAGTTAATCTGTGTAATGTTTAAAGAAGACCCTATTTTTTCATATGGCTTGAGATGGACTTACGACAGTGTAAGGTTGCTTTCTACAATGGCACCTAGCTGTTTCTTAACATCTTCAGAGTAACACACACACACACACACACACACACACACACACACTCACTCACACACTCTCTCACACTCTCTCTCTCTCTCTCTCTCTCTCTCTCTCACACAGACACACACACACACACACACTCACACATTCCATCAAGCATGAGCATCCATTGGGCACCTTCATGACCTCCAGGTTCATGACCCACAATGAGTTCATGATCATTCACGGGTTCATGATCCATTCAGGCAGACCCACAATCAGGTTCAACTTACTCAGGTTCATGACCTACACTCAGGTTCATGACTTACAATCAGGTTCATGACCCACAATCAGGTTCATAACCAATGGGTTCATTCAGGTTCATAACCTACAATCAGGTTCATGACTATAATCAGGTTCATGACCTACACTCAGGTTCATGACCACCACAATCAGGTTCATGACCTACATTCAGGTTCATAACCTACAATCAGGTTCATGACCTACAATCAGGTTCATAACCTACACTCAGGTTCATGACCTACATTCAGGTTCATAACCTACAATCAGGTTCATGACCTACATTCAGGTTCATAACCTACAATCAGGTTCATGACCTACGGGTTCATGACCTACATTCAGGTTCATGACCTACAATCAGGTTCATGACCTACAATCATGTAACTACAGTTAGCAGTAGAACCCAGCTGTGTTAGACTTTACAGGATTAGCTACTCCAGGATTAATGTCAGTAAAAAAAGCTAAAAAACATTTCCATACAATTTCAGTCAGTTGAAAGCACTTGTCACTTAACATACAATCATCAGAAAGCACAAACAAACAATGTTTTGCAGAAGCATATTTCCATGTACACCTATAGACAGTTTAGTGACAAAACGTGAAAAGTTAAAACAGATTTTACACGTCTATGTCAAAGCCATAAAACACTGAAGCTATTATCTTGATTATCTTGAGATGTACCATATGAATGTTATTCCAAACTCCAACACTGCAAGGGGAAAGTGCCAATATTGTTTTGATACTTTCAACAAATTAACAGTGATTTTCCAATACAAACTAATGCCTTCTCACAGATGATGAATGAATACAAATACTTGACATTGCAAGTCCTAGAGATGCTAGAAGGTGTAGTAATGTATTAAGATATAGTTGTATTCATGTCATGGACTCCCAAACAATATACAAAAAAGTCCACTGGGCTTCAAACTAGATAGATCAAAGTAATTCCCTATGGTTAGAAGCACAATGTGATTGAGAAATTATTGATTATCCTTTGTCTGAATGAATTAATTTGCAAGTTCTGAACCAGAAAGTAGCACAGGACGTTCTGGATTAATCACAACAGACACAAACCTTCAATTATTTGCAACAATGCACTAAGATGATGTCCTGTTGCTAAGGGTTGCTTTGCAAGTGCCAAAACAATAGTAAAAAATCATTAATTACTGACACTTGTGAAAGTAGGTTCCCCAGATGAATGCCCATCTGGGATGTACTGTTCATTAAAGTGCTTCATACATCCATTTTACAGATATACATACACACAAACATTTGCCAACTTGAATAATCAGTCAAAATAATTGCTCCAAATAATGCCAGTCTAATAATCATAGGTAACATTTGAGTTGGATTGGTGTTTGGCCACAAACAAACACTTTATTCCCATCCTTAGCTTTTTCCCCAATTGAAATATTCAATCGGAGCAGTAAGATTATCACAATTCTCACAGCCATTGTATTATTGTTATTATAATTATGTACATTATTTTTTAGCATGATGAAGGCATGGAATTGTCTCTCATTCTTCACAATGATAATTTCTTTCACAACATATTCCCATTATAATAACGTATTCATTCAAAGATTATTAGTAAATTAGCAAGCTGTAGTACTAAGCACACACACTGACAAATACCTGGAATGTGTGTAGAAATATCTTTTGCTAAAAGAATAAAATGTAAAATGACAATGATTAGTTTTAACTAAAAATACGAGCTAATACACTAAGGTCAATGATACTGGCAAACACAAATGTAAGTTAAAACTATGGTTAATTATCAGCTACACTTGGTTGATCTACAAGGGTTGATTATGCAGCAACAGTAAGTTCCATTCCTGAAGCAACACTACCATTCTTGTCTACATTAGAGTTCTGTCCATTTCTGATGATATTAATGTCTTCCCTACATATTAATGAGCTCATTTCTGCTTTCACAAAACAGCAAGGGCAGGTAACTCTTACGTGCAGCACAATTGTAGTTAAATCCTGTATAACCATGGACATTTAATATCTACTTATAGTCCATGGTGTAACATACTTTTAACTTTCTATACACTGTAGGTCAGGGTCCACATAGTCTCAGTCACATCAGCGGTGCTGATTTGGTGCCATCAGAACCACAACTGTAATGGTTAAGTCATCACTGAGAGCTAGTGTCTTGCATCTGCCTACAGTCTAAGATATGTTGAGCCATATTGTACAACTTGATTAGCAAAGAATACCACACTGCTACCAGACAGAATATAAACTTTTGATACCTCAAAGGGCAATGTCAAAATTGTGGGGGACTTCATTAGAAAAATCATGATCATTGTGATACATTCAGTTTCTGTTGGATAGTTAAAGAAACATGTATATGTCATGATATTTAATATCAATTCTACTAATTGCTAATAAATTCAAACTGATTTGAATTGGTCAATCAAAAGTTTCAAAACAGGCTACAAAATGAAGATTTGCAGTTACTATGCAGTTCAATGTATGTGTCTTTTGGGCAGAAAACACAGCATCAAATGATAATATATTTTAGGAAAAATAGAGAGCATGAAATTTGGCACTCATCAATTTTCATTTGCAGCATCTCATCTTGTATCATACTGAGTGACATCATGTGACCTGACATCATTGCACAACCAAACTTTGCCAGTTTGATTAGTTTCTTAAGAAATCCCTAATACTAAATACTTCCTTATGACCTATAGTCTGTTGCAGTGAAAAGGTACCGATGAATTTCATTTTAACCAAAAATGTAAGTCAAATAAAGTGAAATTAAGATTGCGAACCCTCATAACTGTACCTTGCCAAATGAACATTAAAATCTCAGAATTTTATTCAACTTAGGATAAAAGTTGTTTAACAAACGATCATAGTTTCAAATCGCTATTATTGGTTTGTATTACAAGGGGGTATGCACAGTAGTTGGAACAGTGAAACAAATGCACGTGCGGTATGTGATGAGCATTAACTTGCTCCCACTCAAAACCTTGGACTAAACACACTCTACTTCACACAATATCTTTGCTGACACCAGAATGTTCAATTTGTCATGGTAGAATGGAGACAAACATACTGTTTAGAATGTAGAGCTAGATTACCTTTAGATTTAACAATGCAATATTTAACATTTAAAACCTCACACTGCATATTCAGTTCCAAATTCTATTTACTACGGCAGAGTCTTTATGCAATGTAATCTACAGGTTCTACTTTGAAAACCCACTATCCCCATCTCCTGATAATGCCAATTACTTTGACTCCTGTGGAAAACTGAATAAACAGCTGATATGATGATATAAAAATACTAAGCAGAAATATAAACCAAGCTGGGGTGAGCTAACAAAAACATGTATTTAATCAACAAACAATTGTCAACTACGTCATACAAACAATGCCATATTTGGCTATGATTTTTTCAGCAAACATGGCAAAACTGAATAGCCATCCATTAAACAGGGGTAAAATCTATGACATCCTTAATCAAGATTTTTTTCCACAGAACTATGTGATATGAGGTAGCAGACCACCAAACAATATCTGCATAGTGACAGGGACAGGCATGTACGAACATGCATCAAATCTTGCTGGCATTATGCAAACACACTCAAACAAATCAATTAACCCTTTCTATGTGTTGTAAGTAATGTAGATTTATGTACTGTTTGGTGGACAGATTATAAGGGTTAACTACATTTCTGTTGTTGTTTCAGTTTTTCACACAAGTAAATCTGAACATGTTCCCATTTTCATGGCACTTTTAGTTTTTCTGTATGTTCCTTGTCTAAATTGAACATCTCACCTGTACGGTGTCAATTCTGTCATAACGGAGCAAACGTTCCTGAGGCAGATTTTACCCATGAAATGTCCCCATGGTTGTCCCTGTAGTGATCATACTCATGCCAACGTCCACCCAATCCAAACATTGCTCCCTATCCTAACAGGTACCCTGCTGTGGAGTCTCCATGGAGACAGGCGAGTTTTTACCAATGAAATGTCCCCATGGTTGTCCCTGTAGTGATCATACTCATGCCAACGTCCACCCAATCCAAACATTGCTCCCTATCCTAACAGGTACCCTGCTGTGGAGTCTCCATGGAGACAGGCGAGATTTTACCCATGAAATGTCCCCATGGTTGTCCCTGTAGTGATCATACTCATGCCAACGTCCACCCAATCCAAACATTGCTCCCTATCCTAACAGGTACCCTGCTGTGGAGTCTCCATGGAGACAGGCGAGATTTTACCCATGAAATGTCCCCATGGTTGTCCCTGTAGTGATCATACTCATGCCAACGTCCACCCAATCCAAACATTGCTCCCTATCCTAACAGGTACCCTGCTGTGGAGTCTCCATGGAGACAGGCGAGATTTTACCGATGAAATGTCCCCATGGTTGTCCCTGTAGTGATCATACTCATGCCAACATCCACCCAATCCAAACATTGCTCCCCTATCCTCCATAGAGACAGGCAGGTACCCTGCTGTGGAGTCTCCATGGAGACAGGCGAGATTTTACCCATGAAATGTCCCCATGGTTGTCCCTGTAGTGATCATACTCATGCCAACGTCCACCCAATCCAAACATTGCTCCCTTTCCTAACAGGTACCCTGCTGTGGAGTATCCATGGAGACAGGCGAGATTTTACCCATCTCTGATAGGGACAGAAAAGTGTGTGTGAGCCTCGAAATGTTGCACTGAGCAATTTGGAATTAAAGTGTTCCAACAACAGAAATACTTCTGATCCATCTGTGAACAGAGTGAATGTCATTTCATCAGGTACAAAATGAGCAGTAGTAATTTAGAAAGTCTGACCCCTTCCAATATATTGGGACTGGTATTACACTTTTCAATTTCTGAATCCTAAAGCTTATGGGAAGATCCTTCATTATAATATTTCATATACCTATGTGTTTGTACAGTTCGCTAGCACATTTATCACTTGCTTCATAAAATAGACTGTGACACAAGATAATTTGGTTAAGATATTATTTCTAAATCTGCACTTCAGGCAATAGACTTATATCAACACTGCCATTACTATTGACACAGCAATACATTAGAAATTTGGAATTCTGCCTCAAGTAGAATGCTAAATGGTGCATGATATATTCATCCTACATAAATCTGCCTGGAATTCTTCACTAAAGCATCATCTTCTATATTGATCTACCAGTCAGTAACTTGGCAAAGCATGGTCTAACTGTACAGCCTATGAAACACTGATAAAGCATGCAGAGAAAACAAACAACTACACAATTAAAAAATAAAACTAACATATCATACAAGTAACAAAACATACTCCTATAATTCTAAACAAATTCTAAAAAGGACAATTAAACAAGAGAAAACAAATTCCTGGGCCTGTACTTATAAAGATCGTTTAGTACCATGATCCTGGTACTTCCATATCACAATAGGGGCTATACCCTTGAAAAGCCATGACAGCTTCAAATAGCGGGCCTCTGAGCCTAACAAAAACTACTTATTTTGTCACAAAATTTTAGTTTTTCATACACAAGTACATATTCAACAAACAAAACCATAGCTACAAGGGGAATCTTTCATATAAGGAAAAGACTAAATTATTGTTGTCATGAAGAGGATTTGTTTTGTCGTATCTAACATCACGTTGATAATAGGACAGAGTGCCGTTCTGGAAGGTTTTCTAACTGTAATTAAGCACAAAGCATCAGAGTATGTCAGAACTACATGAATCAGAATATGCCCTCGCTTACTCTCTTCAGTTGCTTGGATATTTTCACCTGTTGGGGGACAAAACCAAATCAACATAGCATCAAGTACAGTATTGAGTGAGTGAGTGAGTTGAGTTTTACGTCGCACTCAGCAATATTCCAGCTATATGGCGGCGGTCTGTAAATAATCGAGTCTGGACCAGACAATCCAGTAATCAACAGCATGAGCATCGATCTGCACAATGGGTAACCGATGACATGTGTGAACCAAGTCAGCGAGCCTGACCACCCGATCCCGTTAGTTAGGCGCCTCTTACGACAAGCATGGGTTACTGAAGGTTCATTCTAACCCAGACCTTCACGGGGCAAGAACAGTATTGGTGTGAGGTGACTGCATGCTTATTGAATGAATCAATATTCTTTCTATATCAGTTTAGGTATTATGCAGGTTTTAACTGTGAGGATAATATTTTAATTATGGTTTGTACATATGAGCGATTTTATATCACAAAGTAGGACAAATTGAATAGCTGTACAATTTATAACATGTTGCATAACATAATCTCTATGCTATATGACAAAATAAAAACCATATCATCAAAAACAGAACAAACACAAAGGGCAGTCAGATAAACTCTTTCAGATTTTTTAACCACCTATCTTAGAAACACTGTTATTCAGACAAGCAAACATCGATCTTTTGCAGCTTTTATGCTTGTAAGGATTGGGTAAGAAATATTTCACAAACATGAAATCCAAAAATACAAGCAGATTTTGCTCTGAAAGCATATGATCCAAATTCTTGTAACAGGAATGCTACACAGTCTGCAGTCAGGGAAACAACTGCATCTGGTCATCAAGCTTGTTCTGCAGAGAGCTAAGGGAGACAACTTCTGGTTGAACATGCATATTTTACCCTGTCTGCAAAATAGCCACTGACCCACTAGTCTGTGGATAGTAAAAATCCAGTTGGGGCCAGTTTAAACACTTATGTTCATCATATTAACAGCTTAATGATGAAACCCGTGTCTACATTCAAATTCGGGTTAGTGAATTATTTTGTGGGCTAGTAACTTTCAGGCATAGCTAGCATGGGCTGGCCAGCAAAATTTGGAAACTATTTCGCACACTGATTTTACCCATTCAAAATGGGCATTTGACTTTAAAAAAATAATTTTGAGGACATTTTCTTCACAATTCTTTTGTGTATGGAAGTATTTAAAAAAAGAAACAAGGTATTTCATCATAAAACCAAACTAATTTGAATTGCAAACAGCTGTAGTTACTTTCATAATCAAGTCCTAAAGATATTGATTAACCGTTGTAAATTTCTACATCTTACACATGTGTAAATATGTTTTATCTACAATGTGCATTTGTTACCACTACTGTTAAATAACTACGAAGCGAAACCCGAAAGTTCTCCTCTTACTTTGAATTGATACCTCATCATCTAAAACAGGAAAACAGTACATAAAGCTAAAACATTTAACACATCTAAACACTTGATGCTAGAACTCACAGCGGCCACAGAACATTTCACAAGACGTTCTTTAACGAACAAAAACAGTTACAGATCATGAATACTTCAGGGGATATTTTTTTAAGTGAAGACTGCACACAATTTCATAAAAATATCCTGAAAAATATTCATGATCAACAACCTATTTTGTTCAGTATATAAAACTACCAATACTCTAAACATATACTTCAATTTGAACTAATACCCCTTTTTGGCAACAGCTCTTTGTTAACTGAAAAAAGGGTGGATTATAAAGAAAGAAAATTAATATTCTGCAAAACAAACAATAAATAATATGCATCACATATTCCAAATAAACAGAATGTCAACATATCATAGAATCATAAAAGCATAAAACGAAAAGAATTTGATTGTGACTGATACAAAAATCTAAAGAAACTGCATTATCATGATTATCGTGATATAATATATTGTGGCATTCATACCTTCTGCAATAAAGGTTTGCCATTTTACATTGTACCAACTCTACCCAATTATAAATCAGAAAGGTAAAGTATAAAGCTTAATGTATTGATCAATTATTATATGTGTGCCTTGCAAACTTAATTTATCAAATGGGAGAATTCTAAACACATACTTTTGACATAGTATCAAGATTTGACAGTAACAAAAAGTTACTTCTAACCAAGATTACATACAATATATTTAGGAATACCTTCAACACAGAGGTCACAGAAAAATAAGGTAAAGCAATTTAAACATTTGACTACAAGTTGTTCAAGGAATGGAGAGAGAAAATAAGTCAATGGAGAGGATATCTATTTGGTATGAGTTGAAATGGAAACATCAAAAGGGTATAACAACGTTTTTGTATTTTCTACATTAAAACCTGTTTGGACTATTTTGGAAGCAGTAGCTCCACAGAACTGAAAGATAAGGAATTTTCATATCTCATTCATACCAGGAGGAATCTCTGGAAAACTTCTGTAAATAGAAAAAGAAATGTATACGTGAAAACTTTTTTATTTCTCTCTTTTTAAAGTAAACAAAATACCATACCTTTCTTCTTGAGAACTTTAGTGTTGGTCCTCTCTGTCTCCTTGTCTCGCTTCCCGAAACACATAGTGAGAGTCTGGTCAATACATGACCGCTCCTCGGCCGCGGAGGCCGGCCACCCCTCCTCTCTCTCCTTCACAGTCCGAATGTCCAGGTTGATCAGGATGTGGTGACACTACAAGTCAGTGAGTGAGTGAGTGAGTATAGTTTTACACCACTTTTAGCAATATTCCAGCAATATCACAGCGAGAGACACCAGAATTGGCTTCACACACTGTACCCATGTGGGTACTCGAACCCCAGTCTTCGGCATGACTAGCGAGCACTTTAACCACTAGGCTACCCCACCGCCCCGGTGACACTACAAAACACACAATGTGCTGGTCATACATATCTTACATTGTAAGAGAATGACCTTTATATTCTGGTCTCAGCCTAGTGTTTCTGTTGGAGACAGAAGAGTTTATCAGCTCCTGTTTCAAGACACAAAATGGAGTGAAACAATGTGTTGGTTTTTGTTGGAGACAGAATAGTTTATTCTAGCACGACATTGTGTGATACTTGATTCTGATTCATTGAGAGCTCATCAAAACCGCATTACTTAAAATGGCAGTTTAAGACCCGTGATGAAAGTGACCCGATTCACGGCGCATGAATACAATGAACTCTGACCCTATTGTTTGTAAAAACAAACATGTACGGACATCGGCAATTTCTATCTCAGTAGCATCTTTGATGTTTTTAAGAAGAATAATAGTTTGAAGAAGATTTTCTTGACCCTAATCCCAGTGAAGAAACTCACGAAGCTGGAAAAATTCGTCAGAAGCGCAAAAGCAGCAGTATATTCAAACCAGGTCAAGATGTACGTGTTGTGACGCCAACAACACACGCCAGCCCACACATCCTAACCTTGACCGGCCTCACCGTCCGTAATGCCCAGTCCTTCCACTTCCACTGTCCATGTATCCCACATAAAAGCGTGGCATGTCAGGTCTTTTCCAAATTGGGAATAGTAGGGTGGTTATCAACAATTATTTCTCGTGAATAAAGTTAGCTGCTTACTAAACTTTAGCGAAGTTCATGGCTTGAATTTGGGCTTAGTCGATTGTCATACAGTAGGGGGATCAATAATTCGCTTGGAGATAAATCAAATAATTGTACTTGCTCACAGTATAAACTGTATTTTTTTATTTCTGTATGCCACTTGTTACAAATGCAAGCATTACTGGTTCCTGAAATAAGGCATTTATATTGTTGAAAATGTCTTATTTTGTTCATTACACAACCTGTCCCTCAACGGACTGATTCCAAAGCGATTTCCAGGAAAAGGCCCCTTCGCCACTTTGTGTTCTTGCCGGCCAAACAGTTCGGTTTTTAAAACAGTTCGGTTTAGAAAGATAGAGTACTCTGTTTTATCTTCTAATTAGAGGCTGTTACAAGAAACAAAAATGGAGCCAAGAAATGTGCTGGGATACATGTGCCTATCATCATTATCGACGACCAGAAGGTTCAAGTGTCAATTATAGAAAGAGGCAAATATTTGGCTGGTTGTTTTGTTATCGTGTGCAAGCAAGTCCACCCTGAAATGTAACTTTGTTTTGAGTTTCACTGAACTTGTAAAACAGAAAAGAGTTTTAACATAGGATGTCAGTATAGGACATTCCAAGAACAGGTCAAACATCTAGTACTCACCAGCAGAGACCTGAGAGTCGGGCGAAAAAAGATGGTGGGATCTTCATGATTCTCAAACACATGGATTCTGTCCATTATAAAGGTCGTGCTCACATAGTCAACTGTAAAAGAAACATTCTGGGTTCCAGTCTCATCACCACATCATCAGATCACAATCATCAGATCATCACCATCATCACATCAGCAGATCACCTCCATCCATCATCAGATCACCTCCATCATCAGATCACCTCAATCAATCATCATCAGATCACAATCATCAGATCACCACCATCATCACATCATCAGATCACAATCATCACATCATCAGATCACAATCATCACCACATCATCAGATCACCACCATCATCACATCATCAGATCACAATCATCACATCATCAGATCCACCATCACATCATCAGATCACCATCATCACATCATCAGATCACAATCATCACATCATCATCAGATCAATCATCATCACATCATCAGATCACCTCCATCACATCATCAGATCAGATCATCATCACATCATCAGATCACCACAATCATCACATCATCAGATCACCACCATCACCACATCATCAGATCACCCACCATCATCATCCATCATCAGATCACAATCATCAGATCACCCACCATCATCACATCATCAGATCACAATCATCACATCATCAGATCACAATCATCACACATCATCAGATCACACCACCATCACATCATCAGATCACAATCATCACATCATCAGATCCACCACCATCATCACATCATCAGATCATGTCACCATCATCACATCATCAGATCAACATCATCACATCATCAGATCACAATCATCATCACATCATCAGATCACCATCATCATCACATCATCAGATCACCATCATCATCGGATCATCAGATCACAATCATCAGATCACCAGGATCACTCATCACATCATCAGATCACAATCATCACATCATCAGATCACAATCATCACATCACTTCATCATCACATCATCAGATCACAATCATCACATCATCAGATCACATCCACATCATCAGATCACATCATCATCACATAATCAGATCACATTCATCACATCATCAGATCATTCATCCATCACATCATCAGTTCACAATCATCACATCATCAGATCACAATCATCACCACATCATCAGATCACCACCATAACATCATCGGATCACCTCCATCACATCATCAGATCACCACCATCATCACATCATCAGATCACCATCATCATCACATCATCAGATCACAATCATCACATCATCAGATCACAATCATTATACATCATCGGATCACTTCCATCCATCATCAGATCCATCCATCACATCATCAGATCACAATCATCCATCATCAGATCATCAGATCACCACCATCATCATCATCAGATCACCACCATCAGATCACAATCATCAGATCACCACCATCATCACATCATCAGATCACAATCATCACATCATCAGATCACAATCATATACATCACATCATCAGATCACCATAACATCATCAGATCATATTCCATCACATCATGCACATCATCACCATCATCATCATCAGATCACCACCATCATCACATCATCAGATCACAATCATCATCATCAGATCACAATCATCATCACATCATCAGATCACCTCCATCACATCATCAGATCACCACCATCATCACATCATCAGATCACCACCATCATCACATCATCAGATCACAATCATCAGATCACCGACACCATCATCATCATCAGATCCACAATCATCACATCATCAGGATCATCATCATCATCATCATCATCATCATCATCATCATCATCATCAGATCACATCATCACATCCCCACCATCATCACATCATCAGATCACAATCATCACATCATAAGATCACAATCATCACATCATCAGATCACATTCATTATCTCATCATCAGATCACAATCATCACATCATCAGATCACATTCATTATCACATCATCAGATCACAATCATCACATCATCAGATCACATTCATTATCACATCATCACATTATCACATCATCAGATCACATTCATTATCATATCATGTCACATCATAATCATCTTCAACATCATCATCATATCACATCAATATTACATCACATAATCTCATCACATCTTTACAACACCTCAATACAATATCACATCATCATCGCATCACATCTTCACAAATGTCATTGTGAAATAACATCATCACCATTACCACATCACATCATTACAAGATCACATCATCATATCACGATCAATACCACAAAACATCAGTACAATCATTACCATCACTTACATCATTACCATCATCATACTTCTTCATCATCATCATCATCATCATCATCATCATCATCATCATCATCAATGGCACTAAAGTATCTTTATGTTTTCACAGTTTTACTAATATCATCATTCTAAGGTTTATGATGATGATGACTGGACTGTAGTCGGTACCTTCATCATCAGTTTCAAAGTGTCGCTCAATCCAAGCTGATAGTTTGTTCTCGTTGACTTTGGACTCAATTCCACACTAAAACATGAAAAGAAATTGAACAAGCACTTAGCAGAACTAGAAAGTTCAATAAAGATACTCCTAAAGTTCCACATCTGATAATGAGCATCAATTAGCTCATGATTTACTGAGTTGCACATGACAATGTCAACTCCTCGCACTGGTAACATCTAACAACAGAAACAGGCACATGACAGTTGATCACAGTGTTAATAAATTAGCATATCACTAGCTGCTTCCAGTAACATCCTCATTAATTGTACTATAGGCTAATTTATGCACTTATGCTCAAGTGATTCCCTAAAAAAGAGCCTTCATCTACCAATGTCTACAACAACAAAAAACAGGCCAGTTTATTGAAAGTGAACTGCAGTAAGGGTGAAAATTTATAATGACATTCTCGTACTTACATCTTTAAGGGGCATCTGAAGCTTAACTCTCTCTGCTTCTGCACAAAGTCTCTTAAAAGGGCAGTGCAGTTTAACGTACACCAACCCCCCGATTGTCACCCTTTGAATGGAGAAGCCTTCTTTCTCCAACAACATCTCAAACATCTTACGGTTCTGCTCATGAATCTTAAGGGCATTCTGTTTGGAAACATCTTTAGCATCAGATGATTCTATAATTGGGTGAACCAACACGTAATCAATCCTTTTCCTCTCAGGAATAAGTTTATTGTCTAATGCGAGTTCGGTGTAGCGTCTTTCAAACTGGGACATCCTGCGCTTAAGTTTGGGTCGATCTTTTCCATGCTTTTTATGCTTCTTTTTGGCCTTGTTGCGGAGTTTAGCATGAGTATGTGCAACAACTGCTGCAGACTTCAAATCAACAGCTGTCCCTTGAGGAGGTAGTGTGTCCACTGTTTTTCTGGGGATGAAGGCTGGTCCCCCTTAGGGGACACGAGATAGTCCTTGTCGTCCATTGGGGATGTAGTGTGCTGCCCTTAGTGGCCCTGGAAGAAAAATAAGCATTTTTAGGGCAATAACTAAAGTAATATGGATGTATTTTATGAGGAATGGCTGTACGCTAGCAGTTTACCAAATATGATAGAACACACATCACGACAAGGACTGATGATACAGCTGCAGGATGGGAGGTTGTTTTTGTTTTGTCTTATTCCGTGTCCTTGACAAGTCTTGACTGGAAAATATACACCTGGCAAGCTATTCTAGAAACATTCATAGCCCTACAAACGTCTTAAGCCTATTGGCTATGATCAAAGTTAAGAATTCTTTAAGGGCTACGAACATTTTGAGAATAAGGGCAGAGGGACCCTATCCACAAAGTGTTCGTAGCTCTACGTCATTCATAAGGCAATGATATACGATAGGTAGTAACGGTACGAACGCTTTGTGGATTGGGACCCTGGAATAAACATGATAAAAGATAGGCTGGCTCTATTTGTTTGTTTGTTTACCTTGCACTTGGCAATATTTTGGAACTGACAATCCATAGAACTGACATCTGAACATCATCAGCAGTCTTTACTTTTCCATATCCTGAACTTTCAGGTAGTAATCACTAATGACAGAGATCTGATTATTGGAAAAGTGTCTGATCACACTGATACCTGATGATGATAAATATACAGCGCATGTTCTAACACAAATACACCATAGTGTTGGGAACTGGTTAAAATCTCATAATTGATGATTGGTTCATTACAACCGATCAATCATCGAAAATAATTGGTTAGCATCATTTATCAAATTTTCCTGTTATGTTTATTAATGCACCCAAAAAATAAAGAAAAAACATACTGATCGTTGGGGTTTTTCTTTTGCAAATTGCACAAAATGCATGTGCAAATTTCACATCATTAAAAGATGACTAGTATGTTAGGAACATATATTTCCTGGAGACTTTTAGCTAAATTCAATCATGTCTTGGAACGAGCTTGTAATGCTTATGAAATGTAGCTTTAATGACACAGACAAAACAAACATTTTGAAAAATATTGTTAATGCAAACAAGTGTTCCAAAATTGTTTGTGTTTGATTATGAGAAAACATGAGCATTTGGTTGGTCATTAAGTCACTGCAACCAATCTTCGATTATTTCCGTTAATCGGACCACCACTCAATACAACACATGCAGACACCTGATGATATTAAACCAAATAGACAGAAACCAAAAGGGTATGAACATAACATAATAAGAGTTTTCAATATTTGTTTTATATAAAACTAGATGAAATAATCCACAGTGCTTTACCTTTACCAGGTGTACATATGAAACTGTCCTTGAATTCAGCAGTATATATGAGAACAAGCTGAATACATGTGTAAATTCAGTTTCTCCTCCAAGGGAGTTCTATTGAATACCAAACATTTACAAAGCAATATTACTTCGGCTTGTCACACAAGTAAACATGAGTGGCTCGACTGCTAGCTGTTGTCAAAATAAACAAACGACACACTACAAAGAATGTGTAAATCATAAAATTGTGCCAGAGATCAACCCTGAACTCCAGTCTGTTGCAATATGATCAAGATAAGGGAATAGTACGATTCTGGCATTTATCACAATAGAGTTTCTGTGTTGTTGCATAAACCATCATCAAACCATCTCATATAATAATCATCTTGTGTGGACCCTGGGATTGGGATAGAGAACTTTGACAATGGGCCATTTTCAGGATCATTAGCCATTTTCTGAATTTCAATCAATGAATATCAATAGTAAACTTCAAAATTTTAATGGGCCATTTTTTTTCTAATGTGCAAAATGGCCCATGGCCCATGGCCCCCACCTTTCCCAATCCCTGGTGGACCTACAACATTACAAGCAATGATCCTTGCTGTCAACACATGATGGCATACTACCAACCAAGTCATCGAGTGTGACCACCCATCAATCAATTCACCTCTTGAGACCAGTACTGGTTGCTAGGGATGTAGTCTAGCCTGGACACCACTCATAGTGGTCATCAATCAATATCAGCTTTGAAAATGTATTTAAATCTGGTATTTAACGCTGCCTATGAAATACAAGTTTTGACTTCTTTACAGGTAGAATGATCAGTCACTTCCGCGATTACACTCTGACCTGTAACTTCATAGCAACCATAACCTTGACCTTAACCCCAACCTCATTCAGTGCAACACTACGCTCACCTCATCCGAAACTTCACTGAATATTGTACGATATATACCGAATTCAGCTTCATTTGAATAAAAGGTAAAGCAAAACAATCGAATATAGACCAGTGCTTTATAAAAACATTATTGATTTATAACTTACTGTTTTGACTTAAAATGTTTAATCCTGTATTCCTGTAAATAATCGAGTTTGAACCTAACAAACATGTGACTGATATTATGAGCAGAACCAGATCGAGTTTAGTCCTGTCTTCAATCAAGCAATAGACTGGTCACTAATCATATATGATCAGAATATGAACAGACTATGTTACCGAGACTAGAGTTTCATATAAGCTTCAAAGTTGCTTTAAATGCACAAAATTAATCACTAATACCCAAATAATCTTGAGTTGCTTGCATACCCATGAACAATTTCCCAAATCCCATGCTAAAACAACTCTACACAAACCAGCTTTATCAGGTTAAACTACACCAAATCACAATCTGTCATTAATACGCTGGGGTTGTAAGTTTAGCTTCCTGTACCGAAAAGGAACAGGTTAGGCCGGTCATTTTTTTCTTGCTGCTTCAAGGTCAAACTTAATAATGCATACATGTAGTAATGTACAAGTCATAAGTGCTGAGAGCTTAGTTAATACAAAAAAATATCATGTTACCATAGTACTCAGTGGGAAAATATTGGGTTTTGTGTAACCTTCATCTGGTATACCCATATGGCCTCACAGATCTATATCTACTGAATGTAGGCATCATGTGAACTTGTTTATGACATGCAGACAATGTGGCACAGAGGTTCTACGTAATTTAAGTCATGAATTGATGTTGTGAGCTTAGCCCCTGATATATGACATTAAAGCAGGTTGAAATTCCATGAAACAGCACTTCTAGCAGCATGAATTATTTTTTTAAAAACACATCTTCATTGACTTAAAAATATCCAGTGAATGAGTGAGTGAGTGAGTGAGGGAGTGAGTATAGTTTTACGCCACTTTTAGTAATATTCCAGAAACATCAACACGGGGGACACCAGACATGGGCTTCATTCATTGTAGTGAACTTGTACCCTTATGAGGAATTGAACCCGTGATGAGCGAGCACTGTAACCACTGGCCTCCCCACCACCTCCAGTGGTGTATTAGGACGTTAAACATATTCAATACCCAAATCCATGGTCATTTACCATTTTGATTGTATTTGTTGTTTTCTTTTTGTGCTGACAGTGATCAATATTATCCTCTTTGGGTTTTTTAAACGTTAAATGATAAGATCATGTACAAATATCAGATTATAATATATGACTGATAGATAGGTTATGGTTTGGCTGCACCAATGAGTGAAAAATTATAACTTGTGCACATAATGTTCTGACAATCAATGCAATTAGTTTTGAAGTATATATTTGTTTTTTAATCAATTTAATGATCAAACATTCTTTTGATCAGTTAACATGGTGTGTGACTACATATGAACAGGCTTATTAACAACTTCCAACCTATCATTCTTTGAAGAATAAGGGGTGGCCTAATGGTTAAAGCATTCGTTCGTCAGACCGAAGACCCAGGTTCGATTCCCCACACGGGTACAATGTGTGAAGCCAATTTCTGGTGTCCCCCCCCGTAATATTACTGGAATACTGATAAAAGCGGCATAAAATTAAACACACTTACTCACTCGAAATAAAATTCTTAAAATTTCAATTACAAATCTTTGAGATTCTTGAGAGGCATTTCGAAGTTGATGAATATATAAGACGAGTATATGGATGACAACTTCTTCTTTATTGTATAACACGACGTTTCTGGGCTACTTCTTTATATCACCTGAAGAAGGTGTCTTTATATCACCTGAAGAAGGGGCAAGAAGTAGCGCAGAAACGTTGTGTTATACAATAAAGAAGAAGTTGTCATCCATATACTCGTCTTATACAAATTTTGGCGTATAATTTTTCAGGGAAAATGCAGTAAAAAAATGACAACTCTCTACAACTGATGATTCTTTGGAACAAACTCATAACAACCAATAATTAATTATTTGATATGTTGTAGATTAGACTCAGCCAATCCAAATACATGATACATTAACAAGGAACAAACAATTATTCCATCGTTGTCACACCGTCAATCTAAAGTTACATGGTTAGTGCCTGTGAAAGTATTAACATAAACCAACAATACAACCAGTCATAAAAGTCCTACATCACAAGGTCCCTGTGTGTAGGGACTGAGTACAGGTCTTTCTGTTGTGTGTTGACACTAGCTATATAGCAACCGAGTCCAGGGATTCACAGTGTGTGAGGGTGGGGACATCAATATGTGCACTCAAGCATGACAAATGTATTCCCATACACCAGCCTGTCAGCAGTAATCTATTACGCTGAGCCTACTGTCAACCAGTTGCATTAATAAACAGAAACTAATGCTTAGTCTCTGAATATATATAATTTTGATAGTAACAAACAAGCGCATGTAAAATTGAAAAGGCGCCCCAGGGAGACCAGAGATTCAGAACCTGAGGAAATCTAGACTTGCTTCATGTAAGGCTTTAGCACTGCAGAGAGGGCTTGGCAGTAGGGAAAATAATGTGGTTCAGGGACTGTGAGACAGATTAGAATAAACAGTAAAGTATGTTTACAAAGATGCGCTTGTGACGAACTGATGATTATTATTAGCTGTTTTTTGTCCCAACCTCTTGTTTCAGTCAAACAACAACAACAACACATAACAAACTACGATTATAACAAACTACCGTAATTTAGTGATCCCTTTGACTTCATCATAACTGTCGTCATTGACCCGGGTTCGGTTCCCCACACGGGTACAATGTGTGAAACCCATTTCTGGTGTCCCCTAACCTGATATTGCTGGAATATTGCTAAAACAGTGTAAAGCCATACTCACTCACTCATCATAACTGTAGTTACTGTGTAATTTGCACATTTTATTCAAACTAATTTTGAAAATGACTAGATGCTATTATTTTGAATATTTCACACAACTTTTTCTGCTTTCATGTGGAAGAAATAAATGTGTTCTTCAAAACATCTGGGGTTTTTTTTGTCACAGACTAAAATGAACAATGATATAAACAGCTGATATATATTGTTATACACAAGTTATACCCAAACCTAAAAACAGTACTTTAATTTGTTTTTGATAAGTCATGAAGATCACATGGAGATCTATACAATTGTAAATTTTGAAACATTTCTGATGTTTGAACATGGACAAGTTCTTCCCTTAAGCTGAGTTTCATTTTTTGATAATTGGAAAAGAATCAGGAAAGTAAGCTAAACTTTTGGTGTCTATTACAGCAGTGAGAGAAGGCAATTTCTATGATAAAAATCAATCAAACAAAACATTTGAAAAAGTTATAGGCAGTGGCCCGAAAGAGGGTTTTTGTAAGATACTGTGAAGTGTAAAACAGCTTAAAAAAGACTACTGTAATCGTAAGATGAGCCAAGTAAGTAATCTGCTTAATGCCAACATAAACTTCACTGCTTATCCTTCTTATACAAGTAGGATATAACTAGAACAAAGGAAACAACAAAACCAATCATTCAGTGTTTCGTATTTGCAAAACATAAATTACAATAATGAAATAAAAGTAGAACATCTGTTTCCAAACAGACTGACTTTTGCATAGAGATCATCTAGTTCCAAATTTTTCTGACTACATATTTGTGGCACACATCAGGTAAATCAACAAGTCCGATCCCGGCAAGTGCAGAGTAGGTCAAGGTCTAAGTGATCGTGCATAACACAGGCCCAATTACAATAAATATAAGTAGAAAAACTCATTATGGCAGTTAGGTTTAAATGTCTCAGAAAGAATGGTGATTCACATGCTGACAAGTGCCATCAATTCAGCATGTTTTGGTGCATACGTTGTTCATGAATACAATGCAATAAAAATGAAATTCAGTAAATTAACAGCTACTAGTACAAATTAACTCCAAAAGTCATAAAGACCCTAGCTCCCAAAGTATGGCTTCAGATTTTTATGATTTATGTCTCATTTTGTAGCTACATCTGTCAGCAAGAAATGCTAAAATGTTGATTTCATCCTGGAACAAACTTGGTGTGTTTCCTTTTATATAGTGCTAAGCCCTATCAGTGACAATATATACCATGGTGCTAATTTGTTGCGTTACAAACACCTATGGCAAGAGGGGCCAAGTAAGGATATCAGCAAATGTTCACAAAAAAGCTTCAGAACAGTCAACAGTACACAAACAATGCAATCTTGAGTATATGAGAACTATATGCTGACAATCTTTTCACACACTATAAATGCAGAGCTGTCAACCCCTAAAGATGGTTTGGAGTGAGACTGAAAAAAATAAGCCAGGGTCCAGCCGGGGTCATGTCGAGGGTGACGTCCTGGTAGGGGGTCCGCCCCCGAAAATGAAGTTTAGTGATTTTCAGGTGCATTTGGAGCCTTCTGGTGGCATTATTTTGACACTAAAAGATGCATGCTAATAAATAATTATAAGCCGAATCATTCGCATAAACATCATTTTAGTACTTCGTTCATTCAGGCGTTCTTTCAATGTTCAACTTGACGCAAAAACGAACGAAAATGCGTATTAATTTTGAAATTATTCTTGGCTACCAGATATGCACGAGATTATTATTTGGAGGCGTGAGAGCGTGACATTTGTCAATAAAGCGTGAGACTCACGCCAAATGTGTGAGAGTTGACAGGTATGTAAATGTAAATAAAATATTAGCGAAAACATTCAGAACACATACATCAAGAAAGTGATTTATAACAAATATTTGACCTCTATTAGTCCAAATGGTAAGAGTTCCTCCCGTTCCCCCATCCCAAATAACATTTACAGAAGCGTAACCTAAATTCGTGGATAACCTTGATTTGTGGATCCCGAAAATTATCATGCTAACTCGTAAATTAAGTCTTGACTGACATCATGAAGCGGTACTTTTGATGTACATACAATGCCACGCCTCGCTGACAAAAAAGTTCCAAATCTCTGCACTAGTTACATGCAAGTACACTAAATATTATTGTCCAGCATTGAGATAAATAGCCCCAAATCACTAAAACCACCATTACCAAATTTTATTTTTCCAAAATGTCAAGTAAAAAAGATACCGTTAGCTATAACATTCTCACTTCTTGTTGTCTGCTTTCCTTGGTGTCAATACTTACTGCAGTGGGATGTCGTACAATTAGTGGTATAAAGTAACCAACTACGTAATCCACGATACAAGGTGACGGTACATTTTGTGGGCACACGAATGGGTGATGATTGCAAATGGCTTCCGTAAACAAACGTTTCATTCACAAGTGGAACATTGGGCATTTTTAATTTGCTGAATCAATAAATAAAATAATCAGTGCGTATACAAAATGAAATCATGCATTTAAAATATGAATTTCACCGCATTTCCCTTATATCCACGAATCAAGGTTATATCCACTATAATCAAGGTATTAACAAAACTTAACAGTGTATATAAATTAAATGAAATCATGCATTTAAAATATGAATTGCACCGCATTTCCCTTATATCCACGAATCAAGGTTACGCGAGTGTATAAATTAATATATGATACTAAAATTATTAACAAAACTTAACACAACAATTACTAGAGAACTCAAAAGTCCAAAATTTAAGTTATGTTTACGGTCAGGTTTAAATTAGGGTTAGGTTTAGGTTTGGGGGAACGGAAGGAACTCTTTCCGACCTCTGTTAGTCAAAATAAAGTGTTGTCATATATGTCGACATTCTTGTCCTCGTTCTTCATATTCATTGTATTTTGTTTAAGTTCTTGGCCTTGGATAATTAGGTTTTATGGGAATAGACAAAACTGTTTCTAAAATAACATTACGGAAGATCTTGATCTAGCAAGTGACCCAGATTGTTTGCAATACATTAGATTATCGGTTCATCGATTTTTATCATAATGATCGCTATCTGATTCCAGAAGATAGATCATGACGACAAACATAACGCTTGGAGGTGCCCGTTGGACGGACTGATGACATTACGTTTTATGACTCACCTATACGGTACAGGAGTTAAATGTCCATCCCCTCCACAGTCCACAAGAAATCACGTCCACAGCACTACATGGTGTACCTTAAAATTGTCCGTGTTTCAATCACAATACGAGAGCCTGCATGTTGTTTGGGAAAGTTGCCATGTATGCAAGGGCGGCAACTCTTGTCTTAAGCACATTCTGCAGACCACTCTATATTTACTAGGCCATGTGTCCGACATTTCATGTCAATGGATTTTTCTATTTAGGACTTCATGAGTACATGTCTGTATATTACTAAACACATATCACATATACACACCCTGTTATATCAAACAAAGCATGTTCAGTAAATATTGGAAATATATAACCATGAAAAGTGTACGTTTTTCAACCAATTGTTTTAATGTCTATATATTACCCATTTCTGTTTACATTACTGACAGGTTCCAATTTTGAAAACAACATGTTCTTTTTCAAGATAATTATTCAACCGAGTCCATTTTACTCTGTTTTCACAATATATGTTAACTGTGCCTACATGTGCTCGAAGCAGCTTACACAAGTATAATGCAAATTAATATATTGTTATCTAGAAGTGGGCAATGGTACTTTTCATTTTATTTTAAATCTAGTATTTAATTTTATTTTAAATCTAGTATGAAATACAGGTTTTGGCTTCTTTGCGGGCAGAATGATCAACTCAGATTTCAGTCACTTCGGAGATTACACTCTGACGTGTAACATCATATGGCAACCGAAACCCTGACCTTAACCTTAAAAGCACATTTAAACATCTTTCAATGTCGCGTGCGCCCTTTCATCTATGGCTGGTTGACAGTTTATCCAAAGTGTGGTTATTAGACCGGATTCCGACGGGAAAATTTGTTTGATGTTCATGCTATAAAGTAAAATACATCCCCAAACAAAAAGACTAATAACAAATGCCTGATTGTGAATTGCAGATAGAGACAGAACACTTTAATTACGAGAAACATAACACATTAAAACAGGAAGAGAACACAGAGGGATGGTTAACCTGTCAGTAGCTCCTGGTCATTTTCCATCAGGACATAAACAAGAGATCATGGTGTCAGATGTTTTTTAAAGAATGAAAACATTGTTTCGGGACATGTGACAAAAGCAGATCAGGCTCGAACACTTTGAATAGATACTGCCAACACCATAAAGCAGTGGGAGTTTGAAAGTCAGCAGATAGTGTCGAACCTCGATCGATCCAGTTCCAAACCCCGGGAGGAGCCTGTCCTGTCTGGACCTGTCCAGGTCGCCTTGTATTGAAGAGAGGGACTGAGGTAAGGTAAAAGTTATCTGCATGAGTGTACAACCTGTGTTGCGTTAATCCTTGAGTGAATGTGTGCCGGTACATGACTGCTATGTAGATCTTTAAGAGCAGCGGCCTACACGCACTACACGCAGAGTAATGTCTTCAACTGACCCTGGAGCCAGGGAACGGCAAAATGTTAGGTAACTGATCATGACTACTAACTGTTGAAGGGTGCCTTGACCCCAGTTGCCAGTATTAATAAAGCCACTTATATAGCGCTCAACTCCAAGCCGCACGGGCATACAACATAATGGGCATTATTACCCCGGATAACCTAAGTTGACTGTGACGTGCTATACAAAGTTATAGGAGTCATATGATTTATCCCACCCGGATAGTTTTCTGCTAGGCGAACAGAGGCAATTTTGAACAAACTCACTTGCTTAAGGTGAGACTACATGTGTCACATGTGCTTCGTTGTGGAGCAGCACAGAAGTCCTATATAGGTACTCTCTCGAATCAAGCTGCCAAACACCTAACCCCTCCAAGGACACTCCATCCCTAACATTGCTTAACTACAACTGTGACCTGGGCTCTATGCACACCATAACCACGGATTAACTCCCTGAGGGACCTGGGACCATAAACGCAGTTACGACACTTCTAATACGCTACAGAGCGGTTATGAATATATGAAATATAATTCAAAAGAAGCAAATTGGTGGCTCCACTTGTATTTGTATTGCTCAATACGATTAAAACACGCAGTGGTATAACAGAGCATTATATAAACAGAAAAAAATATCCGACATCACGCGTTGGATGTTCATTATGTTCTATAGCAGTGCGACGTTCTTGATTGCTAACCGCCCGTTGTCATCCCAGTTCAACTTTGAAAGTTAATAACATAAATACACACAGTGTGCCACAAGTCTCCTACAGCCTACACTTCGCCACCCCCCGTGCTGTGATTCACTTAGGTCCAGGTTACAGCGTCTGAAGTTTACACCTCGAGGAGCTCAGCATGCTTGTCTTTTAATGGGCGTTACTAACATATTTCAAGCTATATTTGTTGGTTTACGAACTACAAGTATACCTTGCCACAAACTGGAGAAGCCGATATACGAAGATGTTTACTCTCTACGGGTTATTTCTACCCCGGGAAACCTAATTTGCGTTGAACATGTATGGATATTAAATTGTACCTAGTCACCACAGTGAAACACATTAAAATGAGTGTGGACCTTATTCTTAGTCTGAATAGACCATTAAAAATAAACCGATTTTTGCCGACATGTTACTGAAAGTTAAATATTCAAAGAATACATAACCTTTAGTGACTGTCAAATTGATTTATATATATCAACGAAAAAAAGCAAATGTGGTGGATATCAATTTCAGCACATAAAATTTACTTTTGAATTGAATAATGCATGTTTCAATGCATATGCATGAAGACAGCTGCTCGGCTTCCAGGTCGTGATTCACAAATATCACGAACATATTTATGTGTGGTCACAACTTGGATGTGTAAAATACTCACACTTGCTTTTGAAATGTAATCAACTTACACTGATTGTCAGGTACACCCTTGATTAAAAGTAAATAACAATAACGCAATACCACGGCAATGCCATACTGCAAACAAGAAGGACGTGAGATGACGTTGAGAGGCATTTTAATGTTCATTGATACACATTGAGATCTTTGCAGACGTTGTCTACAGCAAGTCAACACCCACGACTTGTCGTCCACGTGTGACGTCAGGTCAACCTGGCAACCATATTCGGTTGGTGGATCTACGTATTCGACACCAGACTGTCACCTAACATCTTGGACAGTTCCTGGATTGAGACAGATTAGTGGCAGACCCAAACGCAACTAGTTGCGGGAGTTTAACGACCAGCCGTATTCGTCCGTCGATACGTCCAATTTTTCTTACACGTTTCTTTCAGGCATGCTTAACTTGGTGTAGACAAGCTCTAAAGTTAAGACGACAGGGACAGTTTTTTACTGTCAACAGATGGATCCAGGTTACATAGATGTTATGGTCGTGCAGTGGTCTACAGGCGTCCAGGAGTACGTGTTAGAGAGGTGAGGTGAGGTGAAATTGGGTTTTACGTCGTGCTTGAGAATATTTCGCTCATATGACGACGTGCATGCGTGTGTATGTGTATGTGCGCCTGCTTGTACTAGCCCAGACTGAAGCTGGTTTTATAGTGCTAGCCCACTGAGATACCATGCCGCAGTGAAGCTTGAATACCCCACTCAGACACATACTGACTCCGAGCCGACCAGTCCTTGTTGTACCCATTAATGCCGAGCGCCAGGCAGGGACCAACAAGTACCATATTTTAACGTCTTTTGGTATGACGCGGTCGGGGATTGAACCCGCGACCTTCCGCTCTCCGGGCGGACGCTCTAACCACGAAATAGAACGACGCCTACGACAGGACCAGAACCTTCCGATATGGGATTGTTAGGCCAGTCTTTGGAGAGAGAGAGAGAGAAAGAGAGAGAGAGAGAATTAATTCATACAGTAGATCAGATAGAACAGATCATCATCGGGTTATCATCATGGATGTTAAAAGCTTATGACATAGACACACCAGTATAACAGTAAGTTCATCAATACTTCAGTACCTGTGTTCTCGCTCCCAGACTCCATCATGAAGGATCAGCACTGTGTCACTATCTCGCCAGACGGTAAATATCACGATACATTTCTCAATCCTAGCACTGATGTAGATATGTCGGATGTCCTCGGGCGGGCCTGCAACTGCTTGTACCCAAGTAAATTACTGCACACACTCCCGTACACAATCATAAACTCTTGGGAATATCCACTTTGACATGTATGTCAGACGTATGAATTATCCATTAAACGCCATGCTGCGTCAATCCGTTTGCAATCTAAATACACCCGACTCTCAGTGTATACCATTTCGTATGATTGGAATGCATGCGGTGTGTTTGTTCATCGCTAACACAACCCTGGTTTCCAGTTGTAGAGATTTCATTTCCATTAGCATTGGTGGAAACGTCAACATGTATTTAGACAAGCGCCTGTCTATATTTGCCAAGCTCTCACAATCATGCACTCTACTGGAACTTGTCCACTTGTATTACAGTGCACTGGCTGCAGGCAGGCTGTTGGTGCTATAGATCGTCATACTGTCTTTGAATATTTGGTAGGATGGAATCGCAATATTTACCCGCGGATCTGGAATGTTTGGTTCACTTCAACTGCTTAATTCTCAAAGCAGGACAGCGGATTCTAAAATGGCACAATGCCGTTCAATCACTCTTATTCTTTATTATTTATGTTCACCGCAATGTTTTGGGCACGTCATTCGAACGTCACGTAATTACAGATGTGAACTGCCAGGCTCGCATCCTGTCCTGGTCAAGTTGTGAACAGGTTGACTCAATAACTGGGTTAAAATATTTTTCACATTCATTGGGCGGTTATCTTATATATACTGTTATTTCACCATTAGATTATGGTACCTCTATAATGGGGACAAAATACCCTTGATGACCAGGCAGCAGAGCTGTATGAGAAAGCATGAACAACGACTTTCAGACAACCATCTATTGTGAGGGGTCATCCGCCAACAAACGACCTCGTGCGACCATCCAGGCCTACAACCCGGGACATGCTGATTCTAGAGGGTCTGTATACTACAGGGTCTGTGTACGACAGGCTCTACTGGAGTACCCAAGGTATGTCTGTTTCGACCTGAACCCGATTCACAACGAAAAACTCCTGAGAGTTACGTGTTTATACGCCAAATATACTAGGCACATAAAGAAACTGTGCATACAAAAATTTAAAATCTAAATTTATCAAACCTGTGTAGACACATAAGGATTCAAACTCAGAGATTAGTGACATGTATCCACCATGCATGCACGTGCCACGTTCCGTGACGTCAGTGGGTTCGTCCTTGAGACGTGCAATACGTTGTTGCACGTGCATTCCGGGAAAGAGAAACAGAGCAAATGAATGCCACACAATACTGTCACTTTGGAAAGCTCAACCCCTGCCCTTGCGATCGTTCAAAAAATTAAACGGCTATTGAAACGCATAGCATGCCAAGGCTCACGTCTGCACAACGTCATGAGGCCATTGGGATGGTCCGTGGGGAATGTCTCAACGACAAGTGGCTGCACATTTCCACTGCCACCGGAACACCATTTCTGCACTGGTGAGACGCTACCAGAACACAAATGACGTCATCGATCGGCCACGTTCTGGACGTCCACGTGTAACAACGCCAAGACAGGACAGATGGATAAGGGTGACCCATCTTCGCCACAGGTTTCAGACTGCAATGATGACTGCCCGAACCATCCCAGGACTTCGCCGTATCCACCCCAACACAGTTCGACAACGTTTACGTCATCACGGGATCAGACCACGACGTCCCGCCATACGGCCTATCCTGACACAACGTCATCGACAAGCTCGCCGAATGTGGTGCCGAAATCATGTCCGCAGACCCTTGTTTTGGTGGAGAAATGGTGTTTTTACAGATGAGTCCAGGTTCAACATTTCCCATAGTGATGGACGTCAACGTGCCTATAGACGCGTGGGAGAACGTTATGCACAGGCCTGTGTCTTGGAGAGGAATCGCTTTGGTGGTGGTTCCGTGATGATTTGGGGTGGAATAACAGCACGCCAAAGAACTCCTTTGGTGATTGTTCAGGGCAACTTAACTGTGTGGGCTACAGGGATCAGATTCTTCGACCTGTGGCAATTCCTTTTCTGCAACGTCATGGCCCTGGGTTAACATTCCAACAGGACAATGCCCGCCCTAATACGGCAAGGGATGCTATGGATTTCTTGCAACACCACAACGTTGACTTACTGCCTTGGCCTGAAAATTCACCGGATCTCTCCCCGATAGAGCATGCCTTCCTTGCACGTTTGATAGGCTCTATGCGTCGTCGAGGCACTGCTGTTCTCAATGCCGATAGTGGACATACCCGTTATTGAGCTTGTGACATGGTCGTTTGACCCCTGTCCCGCTTGTGGACTCGTGACGTCATTTTGATTAACTTTTCAGTTGAAATTCACCCTACTTGTTATGGTCTCATGATCCCTCCATTAAAGTTTATATGTACCTTTAACATTGTTATCGTACTTATCAACTGGGATACTATTTTGACAATGCACAGTTTCTTTATGTGGCTAGTGTATTTTACATTACCCAACCAATGTATTGTTAAATACACATAAAACGCCACTAAAACACAACAGTATAACAAAGAATGTGTAAAATAAACAGTGCATAAAATATAAGGCCTGTCCGACTGCCTGAGACGGGCTAGATTTCTGACGGGCGATCTAAATTTACAGCTGGCCAGCCCGATGGTCTGATCGATAATCATATAATTTTGTTTAGATGTTCCATACATCTGATAAAATTCACCATATCTTGGTGTCTGGTCTGGTTAAATCAATTTTGGGCTGGTAACATTTTGATGTTACAACCCAGATGTCTGCCTGGGAGTTATGTCTGGCTTATTTACACTGTAATAAACCGGGTATTCTTTTCAGACTGCGTACCTATTTCTACTACTATTTCTTTACAGTTCTATATATAAATGCATCACACATCAAACGTACTGTTGCAGTGAATAATGAATAAATTAGTTCCCGTTTCGCGTTAATTGGACGTATCGCAGTTGTGAGGTTTTGTGACACGTTATACACACTTAAGGTAGCACACGAACACACATAGAATTTAGCCAACTCCAACTGTTTATTGCATTTTAATCGTTTTGTCAATGTTACTACTCATTGGTGTAAACATATTATTAGACTATGCCTAACTAAGTAAAAACATGTTGAACACCCAAAGAAAATATATTATGAATCCCCAATAAGAATTCGCGAGTCAATAGTGAATACATTATGCATGCATCCTGTTGGCGCGGCATTCGTCACTATAATACACTCCTACAAATAGTTTAAACTGCCGTATCGCAATGCTGCTTGTTGAACAGCTGAGATCACATATATATGTGTAATTTAGGCTACACGTAAGTCGTGACATGTGCATAAGATGAAATGTTTTTAAGACGTACACATGCAAGGTTGGCTTAAAGCTTAGCGAATCGTCACTACCGTTAATTAAAAAATGTTTTTTTGTTTAATTATTTATACGCAGAGCGCCACGCAGGCAGGTTGATTGAAGACATACACAAGTAATTGAATGTTCTGGGTCAGTCGGTCAAGGACTTTCTAATGTCTGCGCTGATAGATATTAAAATAGTCTTTCTTTACATGTCTTCGAGCGCTTGAGCACAACAGCAAATTTGTGCAAAGGTGATATTTCTGTTTGTTGTTTAACACCTCACTCGGCAATTGTTCGGCTGTATGACGGCAGTGTAAGTAATCGTGTGTTCTAGACAAACCAGTGGCTGATATGGTGAGCAACGACAAATGATATGGGTTGCAGGAGAGTAGGTGTAACCTGAACCCCCAGGGAGTCTGACATTATTCAACACATAGGCTCACCACAGTGAGTGTGTTTAACTCTACCCGCTTTTAGCAATATCACGGCGGAGGACACCAGAAATGGGCCTCACACATTGTACCCATGAGTCGAATCGAACCGGGGTCTTCGGCGTGACGAGCGGACGCTTTAACCACCATGCTACCTCACCAACCATGCAGGCTCATCACAGATTATACAGGAAAGTTGTAGACTGACCGAATACTCTGTTAACTCGTCAACAGTGAGGGATTTTGATTACAATGAACAGACGTTTAATACAGAAATTCTGTCGCAGCGTGCAAATATCCTCTTGCCTAAACCGTTACTTAAATATTGCCAAAAGCAAACTCACAATACATATATACTAGCCACATAAAGAAACTGTGCACACAGAAAATTCCTTCAGAATTGGAATACAACACAGAAAAGACGACATGATGTAGACACTTTATAAGCTGAAGTATCGGGTCTCAACAACATGTCAAAAGAACATGAACAATATCCGTAACGATGACGTCAGAAGTTCAAAATTGAGTCGGGGGTCACACGTCGAAGTCACAAAGTCAATAACGAGTATGACCATCATGCGCGTGAAGCACAGCAGTGCATCGACGACGCATAGAGGCTACCAAATTTTCCAAATGAAGGCCTGGGGAATGGTTTGGGACGTGGTCACTGCCGTCTGGAACCTGTGTCTGATATGAGTCACCCGAATCCATCTGTCCTGTCTTGGCGTCGTTACTCGGGGACGCCCAGAACGTGGGTGGTCGGCCACGTCATTACTGTTTCCTTAACGCCTGACCAATGCAGAAATCGTTTTACGATGGCATTGGACATATGCTGCCACCTGTTGTTGGCTCATGCTTGCTCGAACCATTCCAATGGTTTCATGACGTTAATCTTTTTCATGTGAATTTGTGAACGTTTGAATGACCAAAGATCAAGCTTTCGACAGTGACATCAATTTCTGAGTTTCACATGTTGTGTGCAGCTGCACAGGCTGCACGTGCAGTAACACATTGCAAGTCCATAGGCCACCATCAATGACGTCACGTCGCCTGGCACCTGCATGAGCGTTTGATTGTCTCCAATACTTGAATAAATGATCACACCTTTATTCATGCATAAAGACGCTGTCTGCCTATCTTTATACAGATTTCTGTGTGCACAGTTTCTTTATGTGGCCAGTAATATCATTCTTAATTATTGTAGCATTTAATAAGGATCAAGTATTACTAGAGTCTATTATGGTTGACAGGATATGTGACAGGGTGCCTCAGAACTTAACTTTGGTTATTTCAGTTAGGAGAAGTAATCTTTTCATATATATTTAAATATGAGCAAGTACATGTATTACAGTGAGATTTTCCTGATTCTGAACCTTTGGCAGAATTAAAAATAACATTAGGGAGAGAGAGAGAGAGAGTTGTGAAAATCAACTTTTAAAACTGAAGAAATTAGCTACTGAAAACGACTAATTTACGTCATGGTGACTGATGATGACGGCGCAATCAAATGAATGTGGGTGCCAGTTCGGCCCGACGAGATAAACGATGGGAGAGAAACATTAGGTCTGAAGAAATTAGCTACTGGACCGTCGGTTCCGAGATGAACTACCGTCGGCCACAGCCACAAGATGGCGACTGGCATCGAAATAATTGTGTCGCCACATGTTCAGGAATAGAGTTATTTCCTGGTGAGTATTTTGATATCGGTGGCACGGAATGATTAATGAACAAACAATAAACATAATTCTTATGCAGTAATAGTTGGTGTAACTGCATGTAACAAAATTTAGGAATGGTGTCAAATTGATGAATATGCATGATCACGTATCCCGTTAACAGTAGCCAGATCAACAATGACTAATGAATATTTAGACACCTCAATAAGGGCTAATTCCATTTTTTAGCCGACAGTGAGAAGATTTAATGAGTCACCTAAATGATAATTCCCGAAACTGGAAAGAATGTTTCATGTTTTCCTCTCAAACTTTGTTGACTTCATTCAGTAGCGAGACCTGTTCGTTCTATTTCAAATTAAACGCCCATCACTTCCCTCACCCAGCCAAATCCATGAATTTAAGAGGTCTATTTTATTACACTTCATATCACATGCGTTTTAAGGCTAAAGGGGTTGTTGGTACTAAAATAGACACCTGGGATTGATGACTTTCCAAATACGGAATCATAATTAGTTAAAAGGATTGGATCAAAGTGTTGAATGTAATTTAGATTATGGTGATATTACGACATGTTTGAAGTTCTAATATAAATCAGTAGTATCTCTTTGCATTTTCAGCCCATGCACTTTCAGTTCTGTGCAGAGGAGATAAAACAAAAGGTATGTCAACAGAAGGCAAGGGACTATTTGATTTATCATTTGTTCAGCAGGATAGTGATAGTGAGAGTGAATTAGACAATGAGCCACTATTGGAATTAGTTGATGATCTGGAGGATGAAAAGTGGGATCCAGATGAAATGGATTCAGAAGACTTCCTGTATTCCTGGGTATCAAGTGAAAATGTTTCTGCAGGGGGACCCATGCAACCAATGTTACAGCTGAAGTTCACTGAATGCCCAGGGAGCAGGGCGATAACAGTGGCATGGAAACCAGTAGATTATTTTCTGGCATACTTCCCACCGAGTATGTTCACGAGGATTGCAGAGGAGACAAACAGATATGCCTCTCAGTTTGTTGCTTCAAATCCTAAACTACCAATGTTTTCCCGCTTTCAGAAGTACGCCCCAACTAATGCTGAAGAAGTCATGGTTTTTGTTGCTCTAGAGATGTCAATGGGGATGTGTGTTAAGTCAGATGTGTCCGAGTACTGGATCACCTCTGGTTTGAATGTCACTCCAGTGTACAAGAAGATAATGTCCAGAGATAGATTCACATGTCTGAGGTCCATGTTACATTTCAATGACAATTCCATGTGTCCTGAGCCTGGGAGTGCTGATTATGATCCCATGTATAAGGTCCGTCCTCTCAGTGATGCCATGAAAGAACAGTGCCTTCAAAATTATGTTCCTCATGCAAATCTGTGTGTTGGCAGATGGAAGACCTCACAGAAGCTGCAAGTCCCTTCAGGGACCAATAATTCTGAGGTGAAGATTTGGTGTCTGTGTGACAGCACTAATGGAATGTGTCTGAATTGGAAGATTCATTGTGGCGAAAAACCTTCTTCCAATGGACTTGGCATGGATGTATTGACAGAATTGTCTGCTCCTTACTTTAACACAAGCAGAGTTATCTACCATGACAAGTTCTTCACATCAGCAACTCTTGCCTTATACCTGTCAAGGAAAGGAATAGGGAGTTGTGGGCCTGTTACATTAAAAAGAGATGACATTCCCAAGGAATTGCAGAAATCACCAGGGAAGGCAGAGAGTAGATCTGTATTGTTCCACAAAGATGAACCCACAGGTTTGGTGATGTCTTGCTCAGGAGGTTCTTTGAGTGATCGAAGGAGAGTCAACTTTTTGTCTACAGTCCATGGGAATGAGGTGGTTCATAAACGAGTTACATGTAAGAAGAGTCCAAAAGGTTACCAGGATATTCAGAAACCAAAGATTGAAGCTGATGTGAATCAATTCATGGTTGGAGTCAATATCATGAGGACTTTCACAACAAAGTATTTCTACAAGAGCAAAAGCAGAAAAACCTACCTGATCATCTATGACTTTCTCAAAGAAGTTGCAATGTACAATGGTTACATCCTTCACAAGGAAACAACAAAGAAGGCTAAAAGCTACAGATCCTTCAGGGACGATGTTGTGCAAGGACTCATCGAGATGTACCGAAACACAGACCAACCATTTCCTCGGGTTCATAGCTATGACTCAACATTTGTGCCCGAAAGATTGAGCGGTAGACATTTCGTTGAGCAAATGCATGAATGGAAAACACCTAGAGATTGCGTTGTATGTTCAGACAGGAAGGGTCGTCAGCGCCACCAGACTTCACTTGGTTGTCCAGACTGTGGTGTAGCTCTGTGTGTTGGTAAATGCTTCAAGAGATACCACACCTGCTTTGATTACAAGCTTCAGAGCTAAGGCTAACATAGGGGAGGGCATTTGTTTTTTATGAACATTTTCACAAAGCATTCAGAGACAAGAGAAAATTCCATAAATCTCGCTTTATGATTTTCCTCCTGAGATATTTGCTGATCATGTGAAAATAATGATATTTTCTTTTCAGACAGTATTGCGGCTTAACAATTGCTTTTCTTCATTCTTTTGACACATTACAATAGCTGAGATCTTCAGCTAGGATAGATTTGTTTAGGTTCTGACCATTTCATGTGTGGGATTGGGGCAGGTAGGTATGGTTGGAGTATTTTTCAGTAAATGCTGAAAGAATTTTTCAGGGTCAGGTTTCAAAGAAAGGAAACATTGTGGATATCTTGAAAATGTTGTATTTTGGTCTTTTTTAAGAATTATTTTTCTTCAAAGACAAAGTGCTGAGGCAGTCTCTTAAAACCTCATTTAAGTTGTCTCTGGCCTTGGAGACTTAATCAAAGCTTAGTAATAATGAATTCTGGATTGTAAAGTGAACCATCATCAAACTGTCACAATTATGTAAAAAGAATAAGGAGCAAAGTGTTCTAACATTGACATTCATTTTAATTATATATTACATCAGAGATTAGGATGACACTTTAATGGGTAACTAGATAATTCAGATGCTTGCTTCATTTGATTTTATTATGTTGTGAGGGAAAAATAGATTATTTCCCCTGGGCCTCATTGATAGCTCTTCAGTATGATAAGTTTTGGATTGTTACAATTTCCCTGTTCCTGTTCCTGTTTCTGCCAGAATAAAAAACTTGTTTGATGAACAAGTCATGTTATCTTTATATAATCCTCTGAAGGTACAAGGGAGTATAATGTTTTGGCCACTCTACCCTTCTGTCCAAACATAACCAATGACCTAGCTCCTTGATGATTTCATTTAATAATATGCCTTTATAGTGATGGTTTATGCCCTTTGCTCTCAGGTGATTCTGAATCGGTGGCATTGGTAACATGGGTCATGAAATTGGACAACCCCCAAAACATGCCCCCCTGAATCTGCATCGAAACGTCACACTCAATAAAGGAAATTTTGTTAAATATTGCACTTACAAATTTACTTTAATCATAGTAGGCAATACGCCTAGTAAACATCAGAAATATTAGGAAGGAGAGTGGCCACTCCATGACTGCACGCACATACACACTCACTCGTGCACAGGTCTAAGTTAATCCGATTAGAAAAAAACCAGTGATTGATATTAACGGAAACGACCCAGCCGTTGGTGAACGGTGACAATTCAATCGCCTGTCCCACAAGCATAGGGGAAATACGTCAAAACACTGCTGTACATGTATAATGAAGCTACGCTGTAACCTCGTGTGTGAAAGAATACAATCACCCTAATGGCTGCTCTACTACAACGGGATTCCCAGCTACAAGCAGCGATTAATCCTCTCTGCTCAATAACATGGAAATTTGTCTGTGTGGGATGCTGACAATAACCCGCCTACTAATTTGTGCGTCGTTTGTTATTGAATAACGTCAATAGAATCACTATGTACACACTTAAGGTAAATTGTTTATAGACTAACTAATTATCTTGTGTGTCTAGCTGAAGGCATGCTATTATTTTACGCATCCTAAAATGGGAGGTAAATACTCCAATAATGAGTTGACAGAGTTCGCTGAATGAAGGATTGTATGTTTGGATATTAGGACTGATTAACCAACACATGATCACTACTAATGGTATGTCTATAGTCATCTCTGTTTATTAAGATATATACAAGTACTTAGTGATATGTACACGGAAACCATAAATTGTCAAAATAAGCTGGAACAAAAAAATCTCAAAATTCCGAGTAAAATTAAATAATAATAGTAAGAGTACTTTTATAGCGCCTCATCCACATCACTGAAGGACACGCTGTAAGTGCATATAAGTCACAGTTCATTATTACTAGGGGTGACTATTGAGGGAGAAACAACTATTGCTATAGCGATAGTCTATTGTGACCAACTATTGCAATATTTGTTTTTTCTAATTGAATTGTCTCATTTGAAGTCTTTCCCAAATGAATGTATAGTTTATACTAACACGTTGAAGTAGTCTCAGTCTCTTTTGATAACTGACAAGAAACTTCAAACCCAGATCAAGTTTGTTAAGAGGTAACAGGGGTGGATACCTCTAAATCAAAGTGAATGAATCTGGTACTTGCTGTATTTTGCGCTGCGCATTATTAACGGAGGTCAATTACTAAACTATCGATAGTCACACATACTCTCGATGCATCGATAGTTTTTCGTTTCTACCATCGATTAATTGCTATCGGAGTCTCAACAATTGCAACCCATGGATAGTTCGATGCATCGTTACACCCCTAATTATTACCCCCTATAAAACAAGCTGACTGCGCTAGAAGGTTATAGTCACATGACATCCCACAAGGTACCCATTTACAGCTGGGTGAACAGAGGCAATTTTGAACAAACTTACTTGCCAAAGGTTAGACCATATGTATCACATGTGCTTCGTTGTGGGGCAGGACTGAAGTCGAAGAAATTCTCAGCAACTGCCAAACACGGTCACCCACCCAAGTACTCTGCGGCCAGCGTTGCTTAACTTCAACTGATTTGTGACCTGAGCTCTATGCACAGGTGAGGTGAGGTGAAATTAGGTTTAACGTCGTGCTTGAGAATATTTCGCTCATATGACGACGTGCATGCGTGTGTATGTGTATGTGCGGCTGCTTGTACTAGCCCAGACTTAAGCTGGTTTTATAGTGCTAGCTCACTGAGATACCATGCCGCAGTGAAGCATGAATACCCCACTCAGACACAGTATACTGACTCCGAGCCGACCAGTCCTTGTTGTACCCATTAATGCCGAGCGCCAGGCAGGGACCAACAAGTACCATATTTTAACGTCTTTTGGTATGACGCGGTCGGGGATCGAACCCGCGACCTTCCGCTCTCCGGGCGGACGCTCTAACCACTACACCACGGAGGCGGTCTCTATGCACAGGACCACACAACACCACTTAATCCATATATGGTTTATACAGAAGTTATATATTTAAGTTCTTACAAAAATCTTGATATTTAGCAATTTCAAACGTTTTCACGATCATAATGCACCTGCAGATTTTGAAAATGGAAATCACAAATTCACCCTCTCTCATCCAATGTTGGGATATGGGAATGGGCAGTCCATCCATCATTCTTTATTCGTAATACTGATGAGGCCATAGACCAATAGACGCATCTAGGTTGTGTTACAAATTCATTACATTGTGTTACCTATCTTACATTGCATGGGATATGTACATAGATAAGGTTCTAATAGTATCGTTACAGTCACATGTCGTTAAGATACGATATTTGGCACCATTTGGATTGTGACATAAATATTCCTTTATGTATTTGTTAATGTCATTATAAATTTGACATACAGGTATGAAGTGATATTCGTCTTCAACAAAACCATTATTTCAACATCTTCGAAGTCTACATTTCCTTTTTATAAATTGCCTTCATATCTGCCCGTTTCAATGACAATCTCATTTGAGTTACAACGAAATCGAGAAGGTCGAAACTTCCCTAAAGCCACATTTAAGAGATAGTGTTCTACGTAAAAGCTGAGGCAAGTTTTTGTTCCTTATTTTTGGATATATCGGCGTAATAGACTGTTAAAGGAAAGTTTACTTGTATAACGTATATGACATGCTCACGTAGTTCTGAGAAGTACCCAAGACACTGATCCTGACCCACACGCCTTCTATACATCGCACTGGCAGATCCAGAGAAAATGACTTAAGACTACATTGAAGATTTTTTTTTGCTTGCTTTGGCGGGGGTTCGGACCCCCACCCCACCCCCTCCTCTCTTTCAAAATTCCTGGATGCGCCCATGCATCGTATGTATTTTGTAAACGTACATATGTATAGGATAGTACATTTCTGACACTAGTGGTATAATAATCATTTTTGAAATATGTTAGCAACGACAACCCGATCCGTTTTAGTCTCCAGTATCGACAGACACAGGTTACTGGGGACGTTTTTCACCAAAATCATCCTCCATGGGGAATGACTATCGGCTTGTCATATACATTATCGACCTTATATAACCTGTGTGGCACTCGTTGACCTTTCCTGTGACAAATTTCTAGGTAAAAGTATCGATACCAAAGAAAAGGTTTTTGAGCGTCAGCTGGTACACTAAAGGTTGGTGAGAAGTATATTAGCCATGTTGTGACTTCATCGATCCAGTTTATTAATTCACTGATCCAAGTGACCAGGTGAGCTTAAAATATCGTTCCAATAAATATACACAGGTGTGTTTGAAGGATAACCAATAGCATGTACTTACATAAGACATTTGCTCTTGCTTCCATCACAATAAGGTTCTCGTCATGTGTTCGGCCTGTCACCGAGTCTGACCTGCGTATTCACACAGAATCTGAACACAACCCCTCCTGAAATGATAAGGATCACTTCACACATGTATTCATTCCATCCACTTCCTCTTATCCCGGTACTTTCCACATCAAACTACATACATGTGCACGTGCGCGACGTCAGTGAACCATTCTGAGAGTTATTATTAGATATTCTTTCCAAAATGAAATGCCATAGCAATGGGTTGGAATACCGTTCTGGTGACCAGTTTGCCCAATGTGATGATTATACGAACGATGTGCTTCAATTATTAATTCCAAGGTTAATATCCTGGACAAAGGTGATTACCTAAGGTTCACCTGTATAGCTAGACCATATAGCAAGACATGGATCGCGAGAACTGTGTCCTGAAGGTCATTATAGATTGATGATGTCGCTCTGGGAACTTTTGCAATGCGTGGTTTGTGATTGTTACCTAGGAAACCATTTCTTGGTAATTACGCGGCCACTAAAGCTGCCAGTGCCGTCGATGATCACAGACACGTCTCGTTACAGGTATATTTCAGCCAGTCTATACACAGGAGCATTAGTTTCGCTACACCAGGTTCAAAGTCTATTTCCGAAAATGATGACAAAACCTGAGCTGAACCAAATTGCTCACCTTGGGACTGTCAACACGTGAAAGTAGAAATCATCCATTTGATGGATGGTACTCCAGAGACTGGCTGCAGAGTGACTGGGGATTCCTCCGATGACAAAATGGTTTTCTTCACAAAATGTCACTGTTCAGTTCTTAGCTTGAACTGAGAACTCATACTCTATAAAGCGTTTTTGACTGAACGAATGATTTTAGACTTCTTCTGAATCACATAACAGCAATAATTTATTGTTTCTGTGATGGGCATTCTGTTTGTCAATTTATTCATCCTTTGCCCTGTTTCCAACAACACCACACATTTCTGATGGCGAATATCCGAAACAGTTGGTGGTCCTACATTAATACACATGCACATACATTATGCGAACATAGCTCTTCAGATAAAAGTATGTTCACAGATATACAGCTTCGATCAATCCTGCTCTAGCGATCGTTAGAGTAAGGATATGATACCTTTTGGGTCACTACTGTCACTCAGAAATATATGTTCTGTGATTGTGTACACGTCTGGATAAGTAACTTTAGGAGTCTTATTTTCGAGAGTCTTACAGCCCAAAGAGTTTTCGGATAGGTATGTCACATATTGGAAATACGTATTTGTTATTCCAAAGTAGTCATGTTTACGAGATGAAACACTTTAGAGTAACACTATCTATAACTTATAACGCTAATCCTAAATAATTAAAGTTTTAGACCGACATATTTTCATTCACTATTGTAACTTTATAGATCCCATCGCGTCCCCCAGGAAGATCCAGCTTAAAC